GAAAGATTTAGCACCCGCGGATTTGGCTGAGGGTCCGAATAAGCCATGGCTATTAAACCAAACTGCAATTATTAAACTTCATCAAATACTCACCGAGGCAGCGTCCGCGAATTATATCACGGCTGGCCCTGCAGTTCTTACCTGGAGCATTATTTTAAAACATATTAAAGTTCGTGTCGATCTTCGAGAGAAACTTCAGCGCCGACGACACGAGGGTCTTAGTGATAATGACGAATATAACGATGAACCATTGCCGATTGGGTCGGAGCCTATACTTGCACCCGATGCCTATGAAGGAGTACTTACAACAATCAAAGTCACGGACGAACTTGTCGATTATCTAGCTTTGAGCGCTGTAAACGACTGTCGTGTTTTCGAAGTACTAGCAAACATTTCACGGACTCTTGGTGACACTTATGATGCAGCTTTCATGCCACAACTTGGTTCAAGCTTGAGAATCGCAGTATTAGAGCTCATGAAGGCAAGTGCGCCTGACGTTGGTTACAATGCTCAAACACTGCAAACCGTGGTTTCTGTCATGGATGGGGGTCAGCAATATTGGGATTTTGTTGATCTACGAAATGTTGAAAGCGAGTTTGAGCCAGTATCCTATTTTGCCACTGATGTAGGATTGGTTCGCGAGTTTTGGCAAAATGCTAGTATGCGCTATCCTTGGGAAGCTCCCCCTTTTCAAACCCTTGTTCGTTCTTTGGCATATCTGCATGACGCTGATGGAGGAGTCCACGAGTCTATCTTTCCATTACTAGACTCTCGACCAACCTTTACATACCTATTACCATATCAATACGCCGATTATGAGACAGTTCAAGAGGAGCATAACAATAATTCTATTCAACTGACTAGGGGGCTTTCTATGTTTGAGCCTCGAGGGCGTGGTATCAGCAGAAGACTTTTGATAGATAATGGCAACCAGGGACAGGCTTTAGTACTGGCAGCAGCCAACGGCGATCTACAAATTCCAGCTGGAACGCCTGGTGTTGTGATAGTCGAGAATGACCCAAAAGTAGTTCACCTTACCCACCATTATCGCGGTATGAGGTATTTCGGGAAATTGCTAGAAACATATCTAGTTGCGGGCGAAGAATATGACGCTACTACTGGTATGGGAGCGGACTCTGAGACTGTTGCTGATATCATTGGAACATTTGCGACGGGTCTTCTAGCCTTATCTAGGTCAGACAAAGAAGCAGAGCAAATTCAAAATGATGCCACCGAATTTTTCCAAGTTGCAAGCTCGGCGTTGAACCGGAATAGAGATATCACTTTCGTTATATCTGCTGTCTTTGAACAAGAATTGCAAAGGCAATCGAGCGAATCTAGTTCTGACGCCTCTCTTGATATCCTAATTAGCTGCATACAATATCTACATGCCTTACTTTTATTTTCGCCTGGAAGAGTGTGGCCTCTTATTGGTCGTAGTGGACTTCTATCTGATGGCCGCGGTGGTAGCGGTAAACTCGCTAGTATCGTTGGCAGGGTCGAAGTTATATCGGGGAGGTACTCATTCCTCGTATCATGCACTCGACTCTTTGAGGCACTGGTCAATGATTTCGCAGTAAATGCTATCGCGAGAAACCGCAAAGTAACTATGGCTCCAGCTCGGTTTAGCGAAGTCGAGGGACATAATGTTCGCGTTGCTGATAAAGTTCTCTCTGAAGTTCTTCTTCACTTTACTCGATACCTGACGGAGGTACTAGAAAGTTCGTACACCTGGCAGTTTGATCAACCTAGCGATCAACTCCAACTCACAAAGACCATTATGTCTTCTTTCGAAAAAATGCTTACATATTCTTTCGGAATCCAGGGTGATCCAGAAGAACTGCCACAGTCGGACTCTCGTTCAAAGTCAGATCTGGGTAGAGATTCCAAAGATCATCAAGATCCTGCTATTCCAATCATGAGTGCTTTAAGCCCAGCTGCCATGCACATTGTTGATAGCTATCTTTCCAAGTCTTCTGGCCCCATGAGATTTGGACCAATTCTTCGCACCTTATTCTACGGCTTCAATACTCGTTCTACCACAATGTATACAAACAGATCACTATTAGTAGCAGGGGGCGTGAAAGCAGCACTTAAATTCTCCAGGCAACTTCTTCGAATAAGTGCGTTATTAGAGAAGCCATCACATCTAGAGACACAGCTATTCACTGCTGCACCACTCATCGCACGACTATATGCTGTGAATGATAGCTATCGTACTCCCGTCATAAAATTGTTCGAGGCGATGATAGTCAGCGCTTCGAGTAGTACCTCAGAACCACCTTCACTCCTCGGTTATCTTGGCGCGAAGACTTCGAAGAATTTCCTTAATGTCGTTTCAGATTTGGATACACCTTTGAATAGAGATGAAAATGTTGGATCGATTTGGCATTTCCTGTCGATGATAATGAGCAGTCGACAACAATGGTTCGCGAATTATGTTCTCACAGGTAAAACGCCGAGAGACGCATTAAAAAAGAAAAACCCTGATGTTGCCAAATCTTCATCTCCAAAACCTCTTCTTCTCACAGCGCTTGACAACCTTTCACAAATCGGAGATATTCCGGATTCAGAAGCTTTGATGATGTTAGAATTCGTTTCATTGGCACAGAATTTCTGGCCTTGGACTATGCACGAGTTAGAATCTAGCACAGGCTTCATCAATTATCTTTCAAATTACATCAGCACCCTGAAACCTATTCAAGTCTCGTCCAAGAGTGAGCCAGCGATTAAGGCTTGCTATCGTACTCGAATTGCGGCTTACATTGCCGAGATTCTTGCAATGCACCTTTTCCATTCTAGACAAACTGGCAAACCTTCAATTGCCAAAGATCTCATGCCCAAGCTGAATTATTACTATGAGAATGCAGGGGGACTTCCTACCTACAATGCATCTCTGCATGGCAACCTCAAGAAAAACTTTGATGTCAAGTATGCTAGAACTAGTCTCCAGAGTTTCAAGAAGACGGATCTAGAGGATCGCAAATTCGGCGAGAACTATTTTTACGACCTACAACTACTTGACCAAATGCTCCGTTCTGATGTAGCTTGGACAGGACGTAGAAACGATGGTTATAAATTCGAGCTTGCAAGTGCTAACATCAACTTGTCTTTGGTTGATGCTCAGGTGGTAAGTAATCTATGCTCAAATTTCAAGGTTAAATCTAACAATCTCAGGCTCTATTGAACGCTTGGAAAATTCTTGCCGTTGAATTAACTAGCAATATAACTAAGGAATCTGATCATCAAGAGACCCTTGTCGATGCTGCTCTTAAGTGCCTTGCCTCAAACGCACAAAGTCCGCAAACAGAAAAGATATTTTCACGATTACTTCAAACACGAGCAGACTTTGCGCTTGTTGCCTGTCAACGGTTGATAGAAGCAAATCCAAGGTGCCCTAAGATGAAGAACCTTCTCAAAATAGTATGGGAGACAGTCCGGACATTGGACAAAAGCTTTGCGATGGCGATTGCAACAGGAGATGGTCCATATTATAGACTGCTTCTCAAAATTTTATTCTTGGCTTTGAGAGTCCATTCTGAAGATAACAACGTCGGAGATATTGACCCCAGGGTTTCTACACGAAAACAACAATTGGAATCAGAATCGACAGCAGATATCTATATGATTGTCGACGTGATAGAACGTGTAATTGCTGGCGGCTTCAGTGATCTGGCTCATATCATTCACGACAATCATGAAGAGTCATCTCCAGAAGACATCGCCCTCATCACAGGGCTTTTGCAAGCCTGTCTCCGGATACCAGGCATCGAGTTCCATCACTCACAGATTGTGACCATCATGGCTAATTGCAAGACCCCTCGTATTGCTACTACACTCTTCTCCTGGTCTGACCAAATTGCGATAAATGGTGATCCCATCTATGGTGAACTGAGCATTATTTTCCTCTTGGAACTCTCAAGTATGCCAACCATGGCCGAACAGCTAGCTGTCGATGGCGTTCTCGGCCAGGTCAGTTCCGCAAGCATAACCACTTATCTGCGTCGCGGAAATGTATCTCCATTCGCTGATGGCGCCGGCATCCAACGTTGCTACAACATTTGGGTCCGCGGCATCCTTCCTTTAATCCTCAATCTTCTCCATTCAGTCGGTGCCTCTATCGCCACAGAGGTCGCAATCTTTCTAAACCAATTCCCTCATCTCCTCGCTCAATCGGCAGCTGCGTTTGATGCACCCGAATCCTCACGCACTACTTCGATATCAGCCCCAAAACATCTTTGTTTGTCGACAGCTTCCGAAGTTCACTCTCTAGCTCTGATCGTCTATATTTTGAATGGTTTTAGAGAACAGTTACAAGGAATACAGGTGGTGCCGGAAGTGGATTGGGACTTGGGCGCGGTGGCAGAGAATGTTGAGTTTTGGTTAGGAAGTCGAGCGGTCTTGAGAGAGAGGATAGTGCCGATGGGTGATAAGGATTTGGATTGGAGGGGGAAGAAAATAGAGGCCGGAAAGGCGGGGGCAATGGGATGTTTGGATCGATTGGAGGAGAAGGTGGTGTTTGAGATGATGGGAATCAGGGATGTGATTAGTGGGGGTGATCCATGAGTGGAATGGGGGACAGGATGTGAATGATGTACGAGAGTGGCGTCATTTCTGTTTTTGAGAGATAAACTGAATACTAGATCATGCACAATTAATTTTTTTGTATCAATGGGAAGAAAGATTATGATATGACGTCTGTAGATTGACAGTCTTTTGCATCATAGAATCATATTCGTTAAAAGTTCAGGAGACATTTTCCGACTGATTCAAGAGGTGAATTCCGAGTTTTTATCCTTATGTACTATCCACACATTATCTTTTTATAGACAATAAATTTCTCATCAATTTTCATTCCCACCATCCGTAATGCAGGCATTCATATTCATATCGACATTTTTCTTCAACATCGACTCCATGCTCAAATATATATCGTACAACCCCATTTTTTCATTTCCCCTTCCCACTCTCTACTATATCGCCATACCAGAAGAATCGATTTACCTTGACCCAGGAGGAGGTTGACTCATCATCTGTGCTTGCTGTTCTTGGAATCTCTGACCGATACGCTCACTTCCAGCCATGAATTTTTGGACGCAGCGGGAGACGCAACCGGTTTCGCGGGCGATGAGGGATTTGGTGGAGAAGTCGTCGACGCAGGAGTCGAAGCAGTGGGTTACGAGGTTGGAGAACATCTGTGGATGGGGGTGGGGTTGTTAGTTGGAGGTTTGGGGATGGAGATGAGGGGGTGAGGGGGAGTGCGAGATATTGGGGAGAGAGGATCTGGAACTCTCCAAATATGCTGTTGCGAAACTTATTGGCTGAGCGCTAGCTAATCGCCATTTCGACAATGCTACGTGTGTTTGCATTCCTCGGGGATAGGGTGTGAATAGTAAGAGTGGGAAGGGTATGGCTGTTATAATGTAGGTTTCGAAATTCCGTTGTGATTCGTAGGAGTGACGAGATCTCAATGAGAGCTGTGAGGATTGATCTAGCGGGCCAGCGGATTAAAGATGCTCGATCGAAAGGTACCGACAGGCTACTACTCGAGATTGAGAGAGGATTTCCGGCTGTAGCATGTTCGATACAAGTCCAATTGGAATTCGTGTTTTTTTCGTTCTACTGGATGGGCTGCGCAGGATGATGAAGTGCGACGCGGGGTATGATGGACAATCCTCGTATTATCTCTGCTGCATTTCCCCCGCTTGGAATACTTGGAAGGTTTCGTATTCGACCATATGGAAGTGAAAATACATAGAAGATCTTAACTTACGCCCATGAATTCCTTCATTTGCTTTCTTTCCATACGGCTTTGGAATTCTCTTTGCTCTGAGGGGGTGAGTCTATTTGATCATGGTTAGTAAATTGGATTGGGAGAGTTTTTGAAGAGCCGAATAGCTCTGTTACGCACCCTTCCATGATGATGATTTGAAATATATGTAAGAGAGATTGAGAAGTTTGACAGATTTATTGAGATGTTTAAATTTGTTAGAAAGACTTGTCAAGGCTGATTGATGGATGAGGCTGATAAACTCTTCTGTATATGTTCTTGGAAGCTATCCAAATTGAAAGGCTTTTAGCAAGGTAAATAGTTAGAGCTCTGTTTATTGGGTCGGTTAATGTCGGAGTCCGATAACTTTTATCCGAAGTTGATTGTGGCCCCTGCACAGATTTCCTTGTTGATCCATAGTAACTTTTTGATCAGATCTTACAATTTCCTTTCTTCACTTACCTAGGTATTGACATTCGAATACTAACTACATGTATTCATTCTCTTCGAAAGAGAGAATCGGTACAACAAGCAGACAAAGCATGTTACGTTCATTAGTCAATTGATAAAGGAGTACAAGAACTGTACTTTTGCCATGTCCTCTTCTCTCTTTATACATGAAATGAAGATCTTCTTGTGAGAAGCTAGAAGCAGGTCACTATACCTAAACAATCACCAAGTCATTTCGCATTGCATCCTAAATTGATGCATGAGAGTACAATGCAAAAGGACCAAGCAACTGAAGCGATGGGGAAACCATGGGGGTAATGACTACCGGTACCTAGGTAGGTAGCGTTTGTTTTCATTCAATGACTTATTAAGGTACTGACTTCAATACTGCCCCGCCTGAAAGAAGAAGAGTACAAAAGTTTATTCGTAGATAGATACATGCAGACAGAAACTGATACAGGAACCGATACAGGAACTCCTATATGTTTCTGGTATTAAGGGTTCATCCATCTCCTCCAATTGATTTGTTTTCGTTGCCCTGGATATGAATGAAAGGAGTATACAAGAGTACCGGGGACCTACGTGATATGAATGATGTTTTGCCAGCTCATGTATTCCCGTTGTTCATAGGTATCTGAAGAGTGTACCAGGTCAGTGATCAAATATTTCATCTAATTATAGATGTACTCACTGGCCATGACCCTCTCTCTATAAAACCTCCAGCCAAAAAAAGTCCAGATCTTTGTTCGCTACTAATCCTGTCTCTCAAAACAGGGTGAATAATTGGTAGATCAATCAGGACCTACTTTTCTGCAAGAAGCTGTAATTCATTAACATGATAGTATAATGAAACTTCAAAGCAACCTGCCTACCTCACTCTTCATCAAAATGGTACTGTAGACGGCCGTTGGCTTTGACGCGTGATTCTTGAACTTGGGATTTCCTCGTATAAATGGTAAATTTCTAACTTTCCACAACATTGGAAACTTTATTAATTAAACAAACAAACCAGCAAATTGGAAGTCTGGCGTTGTCTTCACTCTTGTACTGTCCTCTATTTTCCATGGGTCAGCAGGGCAGAGTTTGAGTGAAAGCTTGCAATACCACTACTGTACCACTATTTACACGACTAGACCGTAGACCACACAATGTACTTGGATTCCAATGTACTGCACTTCTTAGCGTCACTCTCCACTCGTTAAGTTTCTACTGTCCGAACTCTTTCACTTCAAATCAACCACCACCACCACCACCTCTACTGTTCCTTGATATTTTCAACCATTATCAGCAACTCTACGCATTTATCGTCTCGCAACAACTTGATTGTTTTGCTAACAACCAGATCCTTCAAGTTCGACTTTAATTCCTCTTGCTTTTGCAGAGCCCAAAAACCTTACATTACCAACTACACTTGCTCGAGAGACCCGGTCGCATCGCAAATAGAAATAAGCCCCTCCAGCAACACAATCCCCACAAACAATCACTGTACCCACATCAACAATACCTATCATTGCTGTCGCATGCACCTTCATTCTCAATTACGACCGACCAGAACTTAATCAGAAGACTTCCTCTATTCTCTTGACCCATCCGAATCAACAATATAGATATTTCCACATCGTGCGAAAACTGATTTCTGCTGCCTGTGTCTCCCCCCAGACTTGCTGGGCCTCGAGGTCCTTTGCGACATCCATTATCGCTGGAGCCATCTTTCGTACATTGTCTGGACGATCAGCAGATCTGATCGAACAACTCCAGTATGCTATCTGATCATCCAACTTCTTCAACTACACAACAGCCCTTTTCGAGCCCCCAGCCAGCCCCCATACAACAAGCCGCATCACCCCCAACGAAGCAGAGTTTGAAGAGCTGGTGGAAGACATTTCGACCTCCTGCTAGGACTCAGGAGCCCAGTACTGGTAATGACCCCCCAAAGTTTCTTTTGTTGAAGGCCCAGAAACAGAGTGAGGATCTGGGCCATTCTCTCTATGCCAATTTTGTTTCCAATCTGCCGAGAAATTTGGATCCTCTATTCAAGGAGAATGCAATGGACAACAATACATCAATAGTAGACGGTACTCCAGAGTTTGCGACAGATACAGTACCGGAAGCAGACGAATTAGCGACAAAGACACAATCAAGCACAACAACTTTCACAGGACATACACAGTCTCTTCACGAGTACAAGTCTAGGAGTCTTCTCTGGCCGTCATCTTCCAGTTTAGTGTCTGGAAAACATATTTTGATGGAAAATTCTCAGCTCAATTCCAACTATGAAACCAGACACCCCCAGTCAACAAGTGGTATAAAACGAAGAAAGAGAAGTTCTTTCAGCAAAAAACTGTCCAAGGATATAGCAGCTAAGCAGCGTTCCAAAATCCGTGTTCAAAACAATCATAGCCATTATATAAAGCAGCAAAGCACCCACTCTCTAAGCAGAAGTCAACAATTGCTAAACTTCTGTCGTTATCATCACATAAAATTCAGCTTGTTAAAATTGGTAACAATGATAAAATCAAAACTGACAAAAGAAACTCCAGAATCCCAACCAACAGGTATATTTGGTGTACCTTTGCGACAGAGTATCGCATATGCCAATGTCGCTATCTCCCTCGTCGATGCCCAAGGACAAAGCTACATATATGGTTATGTACCAATAGTGGTTGCAAAGTGTGGAGTTTATTTGAAAGAGAAAGGTATGTTTTGTGAATGGATGTGTTATTTTTATGTCTGGCTGACAACTATCCGAACAGCAACCAATGTTGAGGGAATCTTCCGGCTCAGTGGCTCGGAAAAGCGCATTAAAGAATTGAAAACAATTTTTGATTCTCCCGATCGTTATGGAAAAGGCCTTGATTGGGCTGGGTACACAGTTCATGATGCGGCAAACGTGTTACGAAGATATCTTAATTTACTACCAGAACCAATTGTCCCGCTTGATTTATATTCGCGATTTAGAGAGCCTTTAAGAGGTCATACTATGGCAGCAGTTGGCGACAGTGATGGTAGCCCCCAATTTTCTGACAATTTTGATGTCAACAAGGCCATCGTTACTTATCAGCAACTGATCACCGAATTACCCCCATTGAATCGTCAGCTATTATTATACATTCTCGATCTTCTAGCAGTTTTCGCCTCAAAATCGGATGAAAATAGAATGACAGCAGTCAACCTCGCAGCCATCTTCCAGCCCGGTATGCTTTCACACCCGGAACATGACATGGCACCTGCGGAATATCGTCTAAGTCAAGACGTACTAATTTTCTTGATTGAAAATCAAGATCATTTCCTAATTGGGATGAGAGGTACAGCAGCGGATGAGCAGACATTGAATGAGGTGGAACACGGTACTCCTCCCCCAGGAACTCCCACTACGCCTGGTAGATCGAAGACCGCAATTGGAAGATCCGCCTCAAATGCTAGCGCTGGAGCCGATAGTGTGCGCAAGTTCGGTGGCATTCGACGTAATGTGTCTGTCTCGTCCCGTCATTCGCGACAGTCGAATGGTGCCCCCAGCCCGGCAAGTCCAGCTTATGGTATTGCACTTACTTCTTCATCCAGCGGTGGTGTTCATAGAAGCAATACTGTACCTTCAAAGAAATCTCCTGGATTGCCATCATCTCGAATGATTAAAAAATCTGGCCCACCCTCACCGTCTCCAGCTGGCCTAACTGCCAATCGTTCCAACGGACCTCGAGGTCTTTCACCCGCGCTTCCTCCGTCTCCTGGTCATCTTTCGCCGTCTCCAGCTTTAGCACTGAACACGACTACCGAACCAAGTCTTGCCGATTCAGGCCATACGGTGACCAGCCAGGAGCGCCTGATTCCTGAATCAAGTGAGCGCTCTCCTGAGGTCTCTACTCCATCTAGAATTGTCTCAAACCTGTTTCAGCGATCACCTACGGAAAGTACCGATAGACGACAACCTAATAAGCTAAGGAAAAAACGTGTTCCAGGAAGCTCGAATCTTAGCGCTCAGAGCTCGACAAATTCTTTGAATGGGCGATCATCTTCAATCTCCCCGGGCCTTCATGCATCTCGTGGTAACTCGGATCATGCAGAGCATCCTCATCTGGAACATTTGTCGACATTAAACCCGATATTGTCTAATACTCAAGCTACACCTCCCGCTACAGAAACCCCGCGTGCTGAACAACCTCCTCATTTTACACCTATGCGACCAGAGGATCCTCACCACCCATCCGATAGAACCTTGCGCCCGGTCATATCACCTGTATCTTCCTTACATTCTCACTCATCTTTCAATGATCAATCGGATCTTGATCATGGGGAAGATCCTGCTCTCGCAGAGGCAAGAGAAAAACGTTCAATGTGGCGTCTTTCGCGGCGCAGAGATGACTCAAACACATTGGGAGCTACATTGAGCCCAAACAAAAACGGGTCAGATAGTGGTGCCGGTGCGAGCTCAAGTTCTGTAGGCAGCTCAGGCAGACCTCGAAAGAGTTTCACTGGCGATACTGTGCCTGTCGGCCCTGACTCAGGCTTACCCCACGCTCAAATCATGTCCAGCAATGATAGTGGATCTGTCGCGCCCGAGGAGAGAAGAGGACCCCTAGGATGGATCAAGAGCAAGATGCGAGAGAAGCGAGATGAGAGCCGGGAGAAGGATGCTGAGCGAGAACGTAATAAAAGTCCGCCCGGCGATCGCCCATCTAACATCAGTTCTTCGGCCCTAGCCCCGCGGGGCAAGAGCATAGACGTCAATAGAGGAGAAGAATCTGAGCGTCCCAACGGGAAAGAGCATACCTTATGTCAATAATAATTCTGCGAGATGATGAGATGGTTATCAGGTTATTTTCAGCATTTCAAAGCACATTTCATTTACTCGGAGTCCAATCTACGACAGCTCTAATAGGCTCGCTGTCTATTGGTTATAAAGATCGGTGCCCCCGATCATGACGCGTCTTTCCCACCCGATTTCTGTTACATGCGTGCATTTGTCCCTTTTTTGTTTGCGCTTCCCCGGAAACCCATCTTAATAAAAATGATAGGAATTTTCCGTGAATCATGGCTGTGGTTGGAGATGTCAAATTTGAGGATTGGGGTTTATTTTGAGTGCATTGCCTCGTGGAATTAAGGATTCATCATTTTTCGTCGCAATTTTCACCCTTCCATGTTCTATATAGAAGGATGGTACAAAGAAGAAAAGAGGAAGGGTATAAATGGGTGAATTGTGACAATCACGAATTCGATGATCTGATGAATTACTGGTATTGGCAAAGGAGTTTATTTTTTCTTGAATGCTTTTACGAAAATCAAAACGAATCAGGTCTTCAATCTTCTGGGCTTCAGGGGAGCAGGGCATCTCCTTGTGGGATCATTAGGATGCGACGAAAACATGAATCCATAAGGATAAGCTTGATACGACTCTTATGATTGGGATGGATCGGATGAAGGTTTGGCTGGGTTTGGGAAAGAATGGATAGGGTATCATGAATATAACGGGAACGGGGAAATGATGGATAGAGACTTTAAAGTTCCTACCTTTTTTGTGTGATAGGTTTGACCGTGGTGAGGAGAGATAAAGACAGTGAAGTTGAGAAGTCTAAGATGGGACGAAATGTTCAATTCTTTTGTATGTATTTTGAAGTAATTGTGAATGAGTAAATGAAAGAAAGGGACTTCTGATATATATATATATATTATGACTTAACTTTTGAGGGAATAAATGGGAATGAAAATGAGATAGATAGTCTCCCTATGCTTGCAGATAAAATCGTCATTGGAGATACTTATCAGTTAGGTACCTACTCGGTAGGTAGCATGCTCTCGAGAGCTAAGACTCAGTCCGTAGATCAAAGCTGCAGTCCATCGTACTTCTAGCCCGTTGACGTAACGTAATGTAGTTCTCTTTGTGGCGAACGTAGAATGTAGAAATTCCTTCTCGAGGGTGTGAAGATGAATGAGTGGATAAGTGGATGAACGAGTGAATGAATGATGAATAGCTAGCTAGGTATGCTATGCTATGTTATGCTATGATGTTTATCGCATTAGTGTTGTGGGAAAGGTGGAAGTGGTGTGGATGGTGGGGGATGGATGGATGGATGGATGGATGGTGAGAAGAAGGATGGATGGAAGGGGGAAGGGGGAGGGGGTAGAGAAGTTTGGGAGGGAGGGGAAGATGGAACTTGGGAGTGAGATGTCTTTTTGGATTTGGATTTGGGGGGTGGGATGGGAGTGGTGAGGTGAGTGGTGAGGAGGTGAGGTGAGCTGAGGTGAGAGGTAGATGGACGAATGGAGAAGATGGCTTGCGTGGATTACTGTGTAGTGTGTAGGTGGCGGGATGTGTGTGGTTTTCGGAGGGTTTGAATATAGATTTTGAGTAGGTAGGTAGGTACTGAATGTTGGGGAGAAAAGAGAAGGTAGAAAGAAGGTGGAAGATTGAAATTGGGGGGTAAATATACTCGATAAGTATCGTAGGTATGTAATGTAGATAATAATAATGATGAGTGTATTATAAAATCGAAAACGGGTTCTTTACAAAGTACTTCTGGAATATCGTATGCAGATGGTTGAACTTCGTATTGCATGTTAGGGATTTGTATGCGATGCGATGTATAATAATATGGACATGTTTTTCTTTTCTTTTCTTCATTCTTCATTCTTTTTTCATTCTTTTTTTTTCTAGAAGGATAAGCTGGGCTGGGTATGATGTATGATGTCCTCCGTACTCCGTAAGAAGTTCTAAACTCGGATCTGCGCCCGCGACTGCGCCTGCGACTGCGGGCGGATACGAAGGGTTGGGATTGAGGAGTGTGTGTGTGGAAGGTATGGAAGGGTTGTAGAGGGATTGGTTGAGGGATTGAGGGATTGGGCGATAAGTTTTTCTACTTTGGTCTTTTTGTACGAATTGTGTATGAGGATTTGATATTGTAGTTTTATGTAGGTATTCATCTCGAGTCTGTGTTCGTGCTCTGCACGGAGTAACCTTATGGATAGAGAATGGAGATGATGATTTGATCAGTCACGACTCACTAGCTGCTTAAAGATTTTGATATTATGGACCCCTATTCTTATTAGACAGACAGACCTCGCGATCAAAATTCTCCTGAACTCAAGAGAGAGTTTGGAGGGTATAACGGGTATACCTCGCCACTAGTTTAAGGTCCAAGACACTGGATTGACTGCGTTTGGTGACTGGTCGACGTTAACCAAGCAGGGTGAGTGCTCGGGGGCTAGATCAAGCGAGGATTGAGAGGCGCGGCTGGGGTTCATATGATTGCCATTGGTTATGCTGAGACTAGGTAGGTAGGTAGGTACTGGGGGATTGATGAACAAGTAGTGCATATCTTTTATGCAGGCTGCTATTCATGGATGGGTACGGGGCTTGGGGGTTTGTCAAGATGGTGGTTAGGTAGGTAGGTAGTGATTTGCTTCAGGTTTTTTCGAAGGTGGTATGGATAATCTGATGTTGTTGGGGGATTTGATGGGAATGGTGATGGGGTTAGATGAAATGAATAGGGTGATATACATTTTTAGGTCGAGTCAGAAATATGAAGAGGTGAATAAATATCAAAGACACATGCCGATGATGTATACCCGTTATAAGTAGAAGTAGGGTGACGTCGCCATCAACATACGCGGATTGCTTTTGAGCGATTTTTGGAGCTTCTTGTCCTTACGTACTCCGTACGGTCTTACATATGGTTTGTTTCTCCTTCGAGATACGGTGGAAAGTGGGTCGATTTGAGGTAATACATGAAGCCATCCGAAGACAGAAAAATGAGAGCATGGTTGGGTCGGCTGCATACAATTAGCTTGTGCTGTAGATACTTCTCGAAGCATTCAGATGCAAGTAGCGAAGAGCAACGCTACTGGTTTGCTCTTGATTGTGAGGATATTCGTATACACGGAGTACAGAGTAATCTTTGGTGGGGACCGAAGTCTCAAGTGGAGTGAGGATATGAAGATGGTTGGCCTTGGATGGAATGGTAGATTTTGAGGTTCTGGTCTGAATAATGCGCGATGTGACATGGAAATGCAACAATTGGGTGAGTGGAAAACTGGCATCGTCATTCTTTGGCAGCGGTAAGTATGGATCCTGGTATGGATGGATATTCAGGGTTTCTTCACCATTTGAACCAACTAGAAAGAAAACTCGAGTCGACAGTGAAAGGGTCAATGTCAATGCATACAATTAGTTGCATAGAGGTGCATATACTTTTCCACGATCTCTTTAGCCTCGTATTATTGCAAGAAGACCATCGCCATCACATGTAGGTACTCAACCGGAAACGTATATTGTCTCTGATACCCCTCGTTGTGTATTGATGCGAAGAAGAGTTTTCCAATCCATTTGCTCACTTGCTTCCGTTACCATTCGTATATCGAATCGCTCGCTCACTCAATTCCTCACTCGCTAGCTACGAATAGTTTATTGACATTCATTCTTTGCTTTCTACGGACGAGCTAGAAGCATTGCAGACGAACTGGAACGATTAGCTGGAGTTCTCATACCGACTCTACCGTACTATATATATATATATATATATATTGAGGATCAGCTTTCATTAAAAGAACAAGGTACGTGAAGGGGACCAAGTTTTCTTAATCCTCCTTTACTGTTGCACATCATACCTTATCATACATATCATACTTTCTCGTATTCATATGGCAGTTCCGAGTATTCCCAGTCTCTTATGAACTATGATCTCGAATTCTCCATAGAAGGAGAAACAGTTCCTTGTTCGCGAAGTGGTCGCTTTGATAAATGCTGCCTTTTTTTTTCAGCATTTACCCTTAATACCCTGATATTACCCTATACCCTTGCGCTGTATCACTCCCTAAAATAATGCTTGTTTCCTTTTTTTTCTTTCTCCATCAATCCACCCGAAGTTCTTACAGCTCCTTCTTATTAGTATCTTCTTAGTATCTTAGCACCTTTTAGCACATCTAAGCACCACTCATTATCGCAAACCGCAGCACTGTTGAATCTACTGGCTCGTCCCTTCCAAAACATTTCGAACCATTTCCCACTTCCCTCTCCCCCCCCATGTGTTTCTTGCCCAGTCTTTCCTTCCTTTCTCCGCAATAACAATCTAGTCCTGAGGACATCGTACCAGACTCATGGTAATTGATAGCTAGCTAGCTAGCTACCTTGGTTTATACCCAGCCACAACATAAAGGGCAAGTGATGTCCTGAATGAGAAAAAAAGCTAAAACCTTTTCTGTCTCTCTTGTTTCAAACAAAACTCCCATCCTCTCTCTTCCTCTCTAATAACAAATCAATTGCTAAATTGTCCCCTCATAATAAAACTTGTCATACATTCAATTGTCTGACAATTCATCCATCATCATCCTTCGTTTCTCGTTTCTTGATCTCTCTTCGTTCGTTTTACCTTTAAGTGGCATCACAGCTCACTACTGCACCTATTTTACAGCTGCATTGCATTGACATTCGTTCAAACCCCTAATATAATCCTTGAAAATTGTTCTTCTGTCTGGAATACCTTGAGAGTTGAGCAATTATGACTTCAACAGCTAATGAACAAAAGATCCAAGATCTCGAGCAAAGGCTCGATTCAAGTGTCAATAGTCCTTTGATGTCAGAGACCGATTCCTATATCAGCGAGAAACAAGATATCGAAGCGAATAAACCTCGAAAGTCGGAAAATATGCCTTCAATTCGACAATTCTTATTGACTCTTATGGTCTTTTCCCTCCTCACTATCACCATCGTTTCTGCCGCTACCACGAACCGAAATCCAAGAAATGTATCACCTCCTTGTATGGAAGATCAACAAGCCTTTAGAGAATTGCTGGATACTGTTGAACCTGCCATGTTACATGATGTGCTTCACCAACATATGACGGAGAAATATCAACATGGCGTTTATGAAGATGACAAGGATGCTTTGGCAGCTGTTTACAGACAGGAACCGGCAGTCGCACATGCATTGGTTGAGGCGGCAAAGGCAAATGCTATGATTGAATTGGCTAAGAGACAAGTTGGATCAAACTCGACAGCTACTCCGGCTCCAAGTACAACATCGGCTGCTACTTCGAATACTGTCGTTACTTCCGAATCGGCCACGACTTCACCTGCCACAACTTCGGCTCCAGCTACTCCATCTTCCACAGTGGCCTCTACTACATCTGTGGCAACGACCCCTACTTCGGTGACAACACCTGCAACTACCTCGCCCACCACCACAGCTCCAGCTTCAACTGCGACTCCAACCACGGCACCAACCACGGCACCAACAACTGCTCCAACAACTGCTCCAACAACTGCTCCAACTACAGCTCCCACTACAGCTCCCACTACTGCACCAACCACCGCATCATCGACTCAGGTTATTACAAGCGATGGAACTACCACAACTGCAGTGGTACCGGTGACAACAAGTACACCAACATCTGCGGCATCTACAAATTCGGGTATGTTCAAAATCGGGTCGACCTCGCGTTCTTTTTCTTCTACTTCTACTTCTACTTTTGCATTGCCCGTCTTCTTTTTTGTGAATTCTACTTTTCCTGCTTTTTTGCCTACCAAGATACCTCACGACTCCTCGACCTCGACTACAGGCTCGCATCCTGTTACGTCGATGTCTTTGGAGTCTAGTTCCACGGTATCGTCTGCGATTTCCATATCTGCAAGTTCAACGATATCCCTGGGAGGTCTTCCCGTGCTTCTTAATGTTATAATTTCTAGTTCTACTTCTCTTGGATATTCTTCTACAGGAGTGCCTGTTTTTGATTCCACTTCTGTTGGATATCATCCCCCTTCATCGATCCCCGTGTCTGGTCCTGGTTCTATTTCTGGAAACCATGGCGCATCCTTGACTTCGGAGTCCACTTCTAGTTTGGTAGGACATGATGATGTTTCTCTTGTATTGCCGTTGCCGTTGCCTATTTCCACTTCCATTGGATCTCAGGGTAGCTCCACAACATCAATCTCTAATTCTTTGGTCAACCTTCCGAGCAATGTTTTTTCTTTATCAGTTTCTGGCTTAAACTTATACTCGGATTCAGGATCGACTTCTACCACTAGTGCTCAATCTCAATCCCAATCTCAATCTCAATCTCAAAGCTCTGCGACTTCTCAAGTGGCTACATCTACAACAGAAGCTTCCACTTCCGCCCCTCAAACTACTGAAACATCTTCAGGTACCACTACCTCCGTCCCCGTGACTACAGGAACTTCTACAAGTGAGGCCTCCATTTCTACCAGAGTATCCACTTCTCAGGCCACTGCCTCTGGAGCTACTACCTCTGCTGCTACCTCAAGTTCTACTACAGAGGCTTCCAGTGATAGTGTTTTGTCTACATTGACTAATTCTGCGAGCTCTCTTGCTACTGATTCTTCTTCTATTGTGGCTGTAACTTCAACATCTACTAACATGGCCGAATCCACAGCTCCTTCAGACGATACTACTACACAAGCCGCTGAAGCGACCAGCAAAAGAACAACTAGCAGTACTTCTACCAGAGTTTTTACCACGACATTACCCAATGGATCCCTATCAACAGTCACATCTGTCACTGTCGTGCCTGCTGTAGTTACTGGATCTCCCGCTAGTTCTTCCAAGACCTCTACTGGAAGTGCATCATTGCAAACCAACAGTGCTGGAAAGAATAACTTGGGAATCAACATGATTCTCGGTGCCGTCGGAATGGTGGTTGTTGGTGCATTATAAGCCAAGTAGTTGGGACGAATACAAGAAATCGAACCAGAACTCTTTTGATATTTACACATTTGCATAGCGTCGGTGTCGGGTTTTTACGGTCACAAGTTTTATTTAACTATCAGTCTCTCATTCTTACGATCGATCGTAATGACTTGACACGAATTTATCATCACTCTTTTAGAAACGGACTTTGGATTGGCGCATAGATTGGAATAGCCCATCACGGGATATGTGCTTTGCTTCGCATAATTGCTGGGAGAAATTGGTTAAGGATCAAACATGGTTATTATACATTGCATGAGGAAGTCGTGGGGATATCTATTGATAGTAAGGGTGGACGAAATGCATTATGGTTAATACGGTGGAAATGGTGAAATAACGTGATAAGGGCTTGTGGAGAAATATGAAAATACACACAATTACAAACACATCACTGGTGCTTTCTTGTGTTTGAGAATTGGTTGTTAAATGTGAAGAAGTAAAAGAGTATTCGTGAACTTTTATGTTTTCTCTTGCTCAGAGACTTTTAGATTGTTCGTTGCAGCATTTCTCCTAATAGGACAGAAGTTCAGAGTTATTTGATAGTTTCGGTATTTTGGTTTCGTCTTCATTGCTCATCTTGATTCTTCTTCATGGGAAGTCAATTTCTAGGACCCTAAGCCTTCCTTTGGTAAAAATGCTTCACTGGGGAATGTTTCCCGTCTCACTAATGCTATGGCTGATGTGATCACAAGGGCGACTTGATCGTGCAGTGAAAATTGAAGCAGATCTCCTCGTAACGGAATCGTTTTAGCTTGTAGAAATTTTGAAATGTTCTGATTTATAATCTCTCATTAATTGGAGTATATGCGTATCTCGCTCTCTCGTGCGGTCTATCTATCATTTCTGGTTGTGCCATGTGATCGATTATTGGAACAATATATTGAACATTGGAATTGGATTCGTGGGTCCAGAAAATGAGGTAGGTAGGTAGGTTGGCTTGCATCTGATTCCGTTTTCGATGTGATGTTTGCGAGTTTGGAGGGAGATTAAAATGTAATAATGTCGAGAAATGTAAAGTCAAATAAAATCGTGTAGTCTCTGATAATGAGATCTCTCATGAAACTCCGTGAAACTCCAAAGATCTCCCCTTACTTCTTTCCTTTCTTCCTTCGCGATCCAAAATTCGCAAGTGGTGTATGTATGTGTATATGTTTTGAAGACAAAGAACGCATTATCCGGGTCCAATCTTGGGCATATCGTGATGTTCACTTAGGGTGCTGAGATATCTGTTTAGTTCTTCGACGCGCTCTTTGTGGGTTTTGACGCCTTCGCGCTTGAGGCGGTCGTTGAGCTGTGGGGAGGGGGGTTAGTGTATTGCTTGAAGGAGGGGGGTTTTGAATATGGAGCTCTGTGGGATTGGGATATGGGGGAATACAGATGGTGATGTGAATGTGAATGTGAATGAAAAGTAGAAATGTATAAAAATAAGTAATAACATACCCTCCTCCTCCTCATCTCCTCATGCGCGCGCTCCGATGCGGTTTTCCCAGATGCGTCGCGGGGATCAAGAGATTTCAATTGTTCTTCGCTCATTTCTGTTTCTTCGGAAGTGGGCTTCGCAGCATCTTCGTCTTGTAAGGCTTTTTGGAGTGTGGTAGTGGTGGATGAAGATGGAGATGTTGAAGTCGTCGGGGGAGCGACCTTCTTCTTCTTTTTCTTTTTGGTGATGCCGGCGCCGGTGGAGGCGCCTTTGAGTTTTAAACCCCCGCCGGTGAAGGAGTAGTCGTCGGGCATGTTGTGTTTGGGGATGCGGGGAGTTGGGGTTGGAGAGGAGATGGAGAGCTGGAGATGGATTTGATGGGACGCGGAGTTATGGGCGGACGGATTAATTTTAGTCCGACTGCGGGGCTTGTGCGTGAGTGGTTGTGCTGTAACAACGTCACGCATGAAAGTTCGTTGAGGTCTGTTGTGTTAGATAGATAGGTACTCATAGATATTTCCAAATAGTATAAGATGATTCTGTTACATTTATATTTGTATTTTTCTTTCTTTCATCGATCAGTTGTAGGATACTATGCAAATGTTTTGCAAATTAAACCTAGTGATATCAATTAGCTCCCCAGAGCTGTTCTTCTCAATTTTCTGTTTTAGACAATCCCCCTTGGAAATCTTACAAGATGCCAGAATTAAAGATTGAAAGCTCGCCAACGACAATTTCTCATTCTAGCTTCCTAAATTTTGCCTGCTTTATTGGGATCTATTCTCAGAGGAGTTGCTGTCGAAGTCTGACTATATCTCTTTAAATTTGGATGTGCTTGTTACTAGATAGAGAAAAGGTATTTCATTTTGCACAGCAATTGCTTTCCTGTTCAAGCATGATCATATCACACTTCATATTTCTTTTTTCCCGTGTGCGGTTGGTATTTGCCCTATTCATACCCTTTTTTTGAAGTGAGGTCAGGAGTAAGCACCAAGGACAGTTGTCTTCAAATACTTCGATGAGTCTTCATGATTGTTCAGAAGGTCAGAATTATCATTGATACTCCTGTCCTCTACAGATCCCGTAGCTCCCAGAGCTTTTTCTCTATATATTGAGTCATATAAGACTCACACAAAGGGGACTATCAATATCTACAGATTTACTGATTAAGGCTTGAGTGTTTGCTTTTCAATCACTGCACTCGTTGTGTAATTATTTGACACCAAGCGAAAAGAGTGAACTCTTGTCATTGTCATTAATCTGTAGTGATTGCTTCCTTCTTAGTTTTATACTCTTTGTATGTTTATTCTATGTTCAAGTTCTACTGAAGGTTAAATTCCAAGCATAGGATCTCTTGTTCATCACGTACGTATAGTAGACTATCCCCCTTTTGTGTCGTGGTAATGGGGATCATCTATCGACAAGACTCAGGAGTTTCTCTCTCAGTGGTACAATCTTCATTCTTTCTATTAGTCTTCTTACTTAAATAGAACTCCGGCCTTTCATACACACTCTCTATAATCTTTTTCCATATAATAGTAGTTTGAAGTAACCCGGAAGTGCTTCCTCCCTCCATTCAAAACAGCAGTCCCTTCTAGATAATCAATAAAATCCATCAAAAGACTTGCCAGATTCACCAAGTCTCTCGGTCTGGATTCATCTTTACTGGTCTACTCTAAGGTGTGATAAAATCCGGAATAATGAAATTCACCAAAAGAAATAGAAGAAGTGGTATGACTACATAGCTCAAGCAAGGTTAACAAACAACTAAATTGTCAAACTGTCAGAATATTCATACAAGTCAACTGTAACTTTGTGATCACAAGTAACCTGAGTAGCAATCCTCAGCAACCGATCACATAAAATACCAAAATCAATCTACCCCTCCTTTCCAAATCTTACAAAAAGCCAAAAAGTCAACTCATCTAGTATCGACAGCCTTCATATTTCAAATCGAGTCGCCATCAACTCTAGTGATCAGGTTTACATCACCCCCAACAATCTATCTATCAGTGTGAACGCTCTTCTCAGCAGCTCAGCATGGAAGATCGCACCGACGCACCCAAATATCTGGATACTGAAAGATCTCCTCTATCGCCCCTCAGTAATCTAAAAGCAATCGACTCATCCAACAAGATTCTTTCACCAATATCCAATATCATAAACGATGGAAATGTGCAGCAAACTCCCCTTGTCTCATCTTGTACTTCTAATACTGGAAGCGAGCCATCAAATCCCACAGAAAACACCATAAATTCCGCGGGAGAACCCTCACCTCCTCATCTCGAAAAAGAATTCCACCCACTCGAGAAAAACAAAAACAGGTCATTCAATCCACCTCCACCATCTCTAAACTCCCCTCCCCACAATCCCAGTTCCACAGCTCCAAGCCCCGCAGAACTAAACTCTGACTCTGCGTCTCAAACCCCTAGCGAACATAGTTCCGGCTCAGACGCGGCTTTTTACTGTAGTGTAGGGTCTCCGAGCGAGGATGAAGAAGATGGATTGAGTAATTCTTTGGATTTAAGGGTGGAGCAGGAGGGAGAAGGAGAGTCTGAGATAACGAAAAGGACTTTACGGGAAGCTGTGTCTACGTCTAGGACTGATGGTGGGGGTACGGGAGTAGATGATGAAGAAAAGGACGAAGAGGAGGAGGAGGAAGAGGAAAATGAGATTCTTAACAAGAGTAGTAAAAGGAGGAAATCGAAGAAAAGATTCACGTTTTTGAAGCGAATCTTTCGTCGGAAGAAAGGGATGGATAGTGATGAAGGTGCTGCTGGGAATAGTTGAGTATGTGTATGTGTATGTGTATTAATAGATAGGTAGATGGAAAATCGAGATTTTTCTTTCAGCAAACCGGCGAGAAAATTGTGGTTTGCATGATTGCCTTTTATCAGCAAAATTATTCCGCCTCCTAGATTCCTTCATCGATGACTTCAAGGCATGTAGTATGCTGTAATGAAAGAGATGATTTAAGCTATGGTTGAAAGAGGAATCGGAAGAGATCAATCTGGGCATACAGTGTTAATAACTATGTAACCAAAAACATGAATTTCTGAAATATTGTGACGTACCGAGATAGAGATAGTCCACGCACTTTAATTGTTTGAACTCTGTAGTGGATTGAATGAGTTTACTCGATGGGAAGATTGATATTCATGCATTTGCAATAACTTTAGCATCGACTAAAGCATATCTTTTCCATTATATAACAAAGGTAGGTACGTAAACCCATCTCATGATTTAATAACAACTACCCAAAACTATACGATTCAATCACATACCACCCACCTCTAGATCAAGATAAAACAATATACAGCAGCCAAGTTAGCTTACTATCATATCGATAATCTCTCTTGAAACCATAATCTCTCTTCAAATTTTAATAACATTACAGTGTTTCCAAACATCCTCACTCACATGGAAAAACGAAGATGGATGTACTCATTCATATATGCATTAACCGAACCTTCTACATCTATCTACCTAGGTATCGGAATGTTATCGCAATAGTTCTCCTCCGAGTACCTAGGTACTAAAGAATATAATTTGTTAGAAGTAAAAATCTTATTGATAGGTCCACGGGTAGGTATATAAATTCCATTGCGGAGTTCAACTACCTACCTACCAACCAACCTCCTACCTAGATACTTACATGATTGAATACTTCGGTACTCATCTAAATCCAAATCTCCATCCCCAAGAAGAAAACAGAATACCAATTTCCACGAACTAATCATTACCCACCCACCTACCCACCAGCCTAACAACTCAATACCTACACATTTAACAAAACATATCTTCAAATTCCTCTCATAATTCATCTCCACGCATAACAATAACAATAATTCTCATTCCAAATACCTAGAATATATGAATATATCTCTCTAAACGAATATCAGAAAGCTCAACTTATCGATATACTTACTATAATCAGTCTCTTTATACAAATAAACGAACAGGTACCCAGTCCATAAAATTCTGGCAGGAGAAGATGAGATGAGATGAGATGAGATGAGATGATAAGCTCACAATTAAACCCATTTCCTTCTAATCCAATACCTACCTAATTCTCATGCTGATTTGCAAGCGCGGGTAAGATTTATCTATAAGACTCATCCATCTCATCCATCCATCCATCCCATTTATAATATATCACTTAACAGATAAAATTCCATCAATATTTAGTATCTAATATCTAATATCCAATATCTAACCAACTACCCACTCCATATAAGATTCTATTTCCAGCAACCAGTTTTGCTCTACCCTAGAGAACAACGTCTTCTAGATCTATAATTAGCTAGTTGAAACCCTCATAACATCGAGAGGACCAACTTATGAGTATGATATGGATCCAGCTCTTATAACAGGATAGTTGATGTTGAGTTCTAGTATCGACTCTGTACTTACTTTACTACATATGTAGCATATAGGAGTTGAGATAATCATGGCTTTGTGAAGAGAGGCTAGTAGGTAATAATTCTCATTATTTCTCCATGAGAATGTTGAATATCTGCTTGAGTTTCTGGGATTGAAGGTGAAGTTTAGCGGTATTGGGCATACTGTTGATTTTTATTGGATTCTTTTGATTTCTGCTCCAAATACAGCATTCCCAAATCGCGACGAAGCTGCACTCCATGGAGATGCTACGGAACGAGCAGCTTATGCCTCCTCACAATCACACCCGAAATACATGTATGTGACCGCGACAAACAAGCAGAAGTTGAGATACTCAGATAAATCTTATTCCTCCCTCTCAATAATGTTGCGAAGAATCCGTGGCAATGTCATCTTCATGGTATATAACGTAAATAATCATGCCATCTAGTGTCTCATAACATCTTCTCAAGTTTACCAAGCAAAACATGGAAAAAGTTGGGGCTGGATATAAACTGTTTCTTTGGATGAATCTCATGTCTCTCTTAATACGGTGGCATGAGTACAGATAAACTGGCACTAAGTAGGGCTTGAATCCTGCCTTCCACCGCAGCCTGTGATGTAGCTGTGATTCTATAAACGCAAAACGATCATTTCCCGTATCAGATTTCCTCTGATCAAGTCTCAACTTTTCAAGTCCGATTTCTTTAGAACATGTGAAGAATTTCATTATTTCAGAAACCTTTAGGAGAGAGCAGGTGAAGGAATTGAGAAAGATACCCAATGAGGGAACATCGACAACTTTTAAAATCTAAAATACTTCATGTAAAAAATATTACGCACACCAGGTTTGCTTGGAAAAATGTGTGAACCCACGAGGAAACTTTATTCACACGAACAAAAGGCTATTGGGGTACAGAAATGAAAGAAAAAAGACTTTTGGCTTAACGTCTATGTAATAAGCTGCCCTGGACGAGTTTTTTCTCGTGAAGGTATAAAATTCGGTGTTTGATTAATGAATCATTATCGATGGGAGGTGGCCATTGACTCAATTGACCGAACTACGATGAATTGAGTGTGGAATATAGACTAGCAAGTAGTATGCTGATTTGACACCACTAGTTTGTCGGAAGTGCCAAATGTGTCACTTGTCATCGCTGATTCGACAAAACGACAAAAGATACTGTTTTTTAGGTTACTATTCATAAAGTCCATGGCGTGGAATCTATCATGAATTCAACTGTGAACAGCATTCCAAGCAGACAGAGTATCAGCCCAAATCTCCCAATGACCAATCTTGCCCTCCTCATCAAATTCACTCAATCGATATATAAATTGTTCATCCCAACTCTTTCCCGTCGTCAAACTTTTGAAAGTGGCACTTCCGACAACACTAACGACACCTTTCTTCCCCTGAAGCTCACACGTCTCATCGACAATGAAAGACTGCGGTGAGGGAAATGTAGATGGTGAGGGTTGAAACTGAAGGGTTCGAGATAGGATGTTGAAGTAATCGTCGCATGTTTGATTATCAGAGGAGTCGCATTTACGACCCGAGAATGTTTTACCTAGAAATGGAAGTTCTGAATTCTCAGGACCATGTTCTGTGATTCGAGGTGATGAAGAGAAGTGTGAAGAAAGGATAATGTCAGGCGAGATTCCGTCGACGAATGCCTGACAGAATGCAACGGCTTCTTTTCTCAATTCCTCCCTGCTGAGAGACATACTACTCAATTCTAGGTATTATAATTTATGGACGATCAGATTGACCGATTGACCGTTTTGATTGGGATTCTAGACATCGGATGTTGGTTGCGGTGAAGCTACTCGATTGCGTGTCGTCTAGGTAGTTCAACGCAGGTAGCCTTGAAATGTAATTTGATGCAGTTAGTACGAGAAGACCCCTTGTTGAAATGAAGCGGTTGCAGCATTGGTGAGCATAATACTGGGATTTCGCCGCTCTAGGTCGATGACAACTATCCAAATACGAATGCCGAGGTCACATTCGCCACAGTGAAATGATGGGAAGCTAGCCGATCATTGTAAATGCGATGTCGCGCAATTGCTCCCAACGTCGATCAATCGTACAAGAAAGATGTCGAGTTTAGGTTTTCTCTGTTGTTCAACATACGAAGGTAGTAGGTTCCGGCAGTTGATCGACAAGTTTCGTTGAGTAAGGAGGATGAAATTCGTGCCACGTATATCTTTAGAAATGATGGATGAACCGTGACAGGATTATTGGCACACCAAATACGTGCTAGATAGAGGTAACTGGCAAGACTCAGGATCTTCTAGATCATCCCGGTATTGAAGTTCTGACTAGGAGAAGGGTAGATTGGTAGACATTTCACATTATCATCATCAAGTATGACAGTATCGCAATGCCTTTGCAATGTATATGAATTTTCAGGAAAGTTTCCAGGAGAATCGTTGTTGTTTATTAAGCGACAAGCAATTTGACATCAAAATCAATTAACACATCGACTTTCATGACCCCCAGGATTGTCTTGGAGATTTCGGAGATGTGAATGTAAAGCACTAGAAGGTTTAGAAGGTTGGAAGCATTAATTAGTATTTATCATCTTTTTTGGAATGCTCATACTGGTAGTTGATGACAAGTACCGGTACTTATTAGGTACTTGGGGTGCTTGTTGGTACTCTGAGGGTGTGAAATTAGAACAGTCAACGAGGTGTAATTCGGGCGACAAGGTGTGTTTTTAGTGAGAAAGTCATCAAGTATATCATCACTCATTGCAGTACTTCCCTCGTAAAGCACTAGAAACATCATTTGTCTCTTTTTCCCTTCTAGAAGGAAAACTGGAGCTCAGCATCGTATGATACTCTCAGGCCAAAAGGAAACTCCTTGCTCATCCTCCTTGACGTTTAACATACGAGCATATTTCAAATCCCATCGTATACTTTGTGTACTTTGTACATTTGAACATTGACTTTGCCCAGTTGAGTTGTTATCAAAATATCAAAATCACGTTGACGTACCTACAAAGTACCCAAGTACCCCTCAGCACCCCACGGGATTCTTCATGAAACTCAATTGCATGTCAAAAATAGTACGCCCCTGAATGCTTGGTGCTTGGTGCTTGGTATCGCATTGTAGAAGGTGGTATGAATGGAATCTTACATCAACGGTCTCACAATTACTCGGATAGGAAATAGCAAAGTCAATCCTCATATTGATTTTCCATGCATCTCGCCACTGTCTAATATGTCAAGGTCGAGATTTACAACACATCATCCGAAGTTTTCTTATTTTACGCCCCGTCTCAGTGCAAATCAAGTATAAAATGACTATTAATACCTCTGACCTCTCGTATGGGCCCTTAATAAGGTTGTTATGCTTCAATATTAATATTTTACAAACAGGCAGTAATGCATTGATTGGGCTTTTTTTAACGCGTTTATGCCCAACCAGCCACTCGGTAAGAGAGTATATATCGATTATATGATTTATATCGAATCAGAGAAGAATACACCACATTCCCTAGTACCGCAGCTACTCGCAATACCAATCAATAGCCATACCAATACAAGTGATGCAAATGATACGATGGATTCCATTGTTTCCATCCTCTCCCTTACCATTCGTCAACCTTGGGGGCCGAGACAGCCTCATACGATCATACCATCGTTGATAGACGCCCCGTCACCGCCCCGGAGATCTCTTCTTCTCCATACATACCAAGGGCTTTCCTTGTCCCATCTTCCACCCACTCTCCGAACTCCCCATACTTTTTATGCCATTCGAATTTCTATCTGCTTTTTTTTGGCGCTTGCCACGCTTGAGATCGGTGGTTGGTGTCGGTATTGGCTCTCTTCCAGGTATATCTGTTACATACTCATAATTTTACTTTATGCTCTCGTCACACCTTGTTCGAGATCAAGAAAGGATATAAATTGCCCAATAATGCCTAATGCAGCCACAAAGTATTCCGTATACCGAACAGCACAGCGGACAACATCCCACTGGCTCCGAGGTCTGTCCTTGCCAATGCTCTCTGGCTTGTCGCGTCGCATTTCGCGATAAGATTTCTAATGTAGCCTTTGCGGAAAGAGAATGAGCGACGTCGATCTTTGAGCACCGAGTAACTTTGTTTTGAAGGAGCATCCTTACCAAATTCTTGACAATGCACTTCTTGGGGGCCAAAAACACCCATCTTCCATCTGGAAACTGGCTTTCCTGGCAGACGAGAGATGCTCAACGCTTCTCAAAGATTCAAAGATTCGAAAATTCAAGATTATTGGGAGCACAAGAATCCCCCAATGCAGTTCAGATCATTGTTCATCCTAGGTCATAGCTTCCTGATTTCTACCAGGTATTTTTCTTGATTGCCCTATCAGTGCTTGGAGGGTCTCGGAGTTTCTTGTTTGATATGTCAAATCTTTACGGTAAAGCTTCGAGTGAGCTTCAGCTGTATAAACCATGAATTTTTGTCTATATAACAATCCAGTTCCCTCCTACCTCTTCTTCCATTTCCCCCATCAGATCAGATCAATTGATAGCATAAAAGCTTTGTTGTTTCAAAAATTACAAAACCCTTGGATCACCTGGCATACTCACCGCCCCTGTTCCTGGATCTGGATATCCTTGCTGGACCCATTAATTAAATCGTGGACAATCAATCTATCAATACCAATTTTGGAGCCATTTGCATTTAATTGTCATCCGACAAAGAAGGACCTATCTCTAATTTCCATCTCATTTCTTTTTCATATAGTATCGTACAAGTATCAAGTTTCCTCTTGACTTGGGATTTGGACCTGGAATTAAAACTTGATATCTCAAAATGATGGCATCCAGAAGAAGTATTCACATCCAACCGGAATTTAGTTATGGTCGTACGATTCCTACGAGTCTTCCGGATTCGTCGAGAAGGTATGCGACAAATTTGCAAACTTACATGATCGAGAGCTAACCAGCAAGGACCACATATTCCACCGGCAACCGCGCGAGTTTCGATGGTGGCTTTTATCCAAACACCAGGTAAGAACGCATGTATCCCAAGTTCGGGACCAAGGAAGCTGAAAATCAACCTCGAAGCGCATCATATGCCCCGGATCTAAGTGGCTCGTCTTACAACCCTATCACTGCACCCATGACCTCAAGTCCTCTAGCCCGCCCGGACTCAATTTATGGATCGAATGCTTACAGCGTTGGTTCATCATCAAATGTATATGGAACCGCAGGACCAAGTTATGGTTCTTACACAAGCCAAGGTCCAAGTTGGGAGCCTCAAGGCAGAGTCTCGCCCGAGACGTATATGGACGATTATGCGGCATCTCCCAGCCCAACGGATTACACGCTAGACTCCGTCAATCGGTCGTCCGGAAAAGCAAGAAGTGATGGGAAAGGTCATTCTCAAAGACGACCATCTAATAGGGATGAATTTGATGGACCGCATCAATTCTTACAACGACCACCCCCGGAATACATTGCCCAGCAGGAGAGAGATTTGCCGCATCTTCCCACAAACCTTGTGGTACAGGAACAGGATAGTGTCCTAAATAGAGTCAATGACCGTCTGTCACAGTGTGCTTTTGACTTTGTGGCCAAGTACCAGTTTCCTATTCCTCTAAGTGACAGCTGTCGACCTGTGGAACGACCCCAAGATCGTGAATGGACGGAGTGGGTGTACCTTCTTAAGCGTCTCGCAACCAAGAGGCGCATACCCGCCCGGGTATTATATAACGGCCAGATAAAGCAATTTGTTACCATTTTGGAAAATAGCCTGGAAATGAGACATGCTGCAAAGCATCAATCACGCCCATTGAAGGATGATAGGAATATCCTCCAGCTAATTTCCGCCGGGATTCAGGTAGCTAAAATTTTGAAGGACGCAGAAGCTATGTCTTACCTAGACCGATTATACGTTACGACAGAACAGCAGATTCAGGAAAGGAGTGCAAGCCGCTTTCGTCCTTGATTTCATACCAGAGGGGTTTTGCCTCGGCTAATGACTTGACGACTTTTATGTTGTATGTTACCCACATTTAGGCGTTGGCTGGCTATCTTTAGGCAAAATTTTAGGTGGATGGACGGATCCATTCCTGCTCTGACACAGCCTTGCTATGATCATTACGGGCGTTTTTTGTCTATTTTTGTATGTTATTATTTTGTGCTTGGAGCCTGATGGACGGGCGTGCGATACGGAATGGATGTCACGATAATTGGATAAATGCACCTGACGAAATATCACCACGCCCGAGAAATTAGGAACTCGCCATCCATGAGCCCCGTGATGTGGGAATCTTTCAAATCGGGAATCTCCAATGATACGCGCTGAACAATGGAAGTCTTGGTGGGTTTGCATCGCAAGGAAACAGAATATAGAAATACTTACTTACTTCGGGCCGTGGCTGATATGTTTCTTTGAGGGGGCATTTATGATGAATGGAATGGATCAATGAATGAATGATAGATAGATGGATGGAACGGAAACTCATATTTGGGAGTGGCAGGAATATCACATCACATCACATCACATCTTTGGAATTGTATATTCGCATGTACATGCATAGTCTAAGCACTACACTACGAAAGCAAGCGAAACCGGGCGTTTTTTGGGGGGTTTTGTGGAAAAATTTACTCCGAGGGGATGAGATGGGGCTTGGTTAGCTAGCTATCTTGTTGGGTTGTTACACGTTATACGTTATTTGTTGCTTGCTTGCTTGCTGTATGTATTTATGTATTTATGTATGCACGTATGTATTTATCGTATTATCATATTGTTTTCGTGGTGTTGTTGTTGTTATTGTTCATGTTTGGTGCGGAGAATGAGATGGAGGGAGGAGCGCGTGCGCGCTCTTGCGGGATGGAGAATGGGAATTGTAATCTTATGTGTATTTGATATATTTGATGTGATTGATGTGATGGATGTGATGGATGTGATTTATGTAATGTGATTGGGTTGGGAAGAGGTATGAGATAAGATGGGATGAGCTACCTAGATGTATGTGGAGTTTGAACTCGGGGGGGGGGGGGGGGGGGGGAGGGAGAGAGAGAGGAATAATTCGGAATTCTATTATCGGATGATTTAAATATTTAAGAGTATTAAGTAGAAAAAAGAAAGTAGAAAGTAGAAAGTATGGCGATCTTGAGTTGGGGGAGGGAGCAGGAGAGGAAAGGGTGTGTGAAGTGTGAAATGTGAAGGAGAGAGGGTGTAAAGAGTAACGATGGTTTTTTTGTAGATTGTTATATAATGCAGTAGTTTCAGGCATGCCGATGAATACATGAACTAACAAAGCACTTCTCAACTTTCAAAATTGATAGCAAATTGATTTCTCAATTGTTTGATATCATAATCTATAACTTTATTATCAAATCTCAAATTATTTAAACTGCTATTCCAAGAGATATTGCTAAACTTAAGTCAGTGTTGGTCATGTCTTATCCGTTCGTTCACCCACGAGTGTACTAAAGACATGCTCGTTATTCTGTCCCGAAATCTCCCACTGTGAAGCATAAATCACTTTTCAGAAATAATAAGATCCGCAGCTTTTTCGGCGATTCCGTAAACGGGCATTTGGGGATGTCCTCCGATGAGAGAGGGCATCACGCTTGCATCTGCGACGCGAAGACCGGTGATCCCGCGCACTTTGAGATTTTCGTCAAGTACAGCCAGAGGATCGTCTGGTCTTCCCATCTTGCATGTTCCGGCTGGATGATAGCCTAGGAATGGGAAGTAGAGTCAGCTGATTGAGAATATGTGTGATGCAGATGAGACAGAGGGATGTTCAAACGAGACAGTGACTTCTAGGAAAGAGGAGACTTACATGTATCTGCATTGGATCTGATAATAGGTACCCATTCTTCTCGCGTAGTAAACGTGTGATGATTTCTAGAACGTGGCCATGATCCAATCACAATATCCTTTGTCCCTGCCCCCTTCATTGCAATTTCATTCGCCATGCGACACCCTTCGCTGAATACGAGCATATCCAAGGGATCTTCGAGATACCGATGATTCACGATAGGGTTTTCCGTAGGGTCGCTTGACTTGTGACTGACTTCACCTCTTGATCGTGGTGCGAAGAATTCCGTAGCCATTGCAAACGCGTACTTGCCATCTGGGGGGAAGTCCCTGAACATGTATTTTGGACTATAGCATTCTGTGTTCCAGAATTCGACGTGGGGCTGGGTGGGTGAGAGACCCATTGGATCGAGACCTTTGGTGCGGGGAGCGGAGTTCCAGAGGTGGGAATCTGCTAATCTGGAGTCTAGACGAGCAAATGCAAAAGTTCCAAATGGGAATTGAGAGAAAAATCCGGTTTTGTCGGTTTTATACTGAGCTAACGATTTGTCTTTTCCACTGGGGTGCCAAATGAGATGATCATTGGTGAGGGTTGGCTTGGGGACTTCATAGAATGAAAGAACAACCTAGTCTTGAATTAGACACAGAGCAAGTCTTGCGAGGAAAGAAAAGGTATCCCGAGTTATTCACAAGTGAACGTCGCTGGACATATCGAAGAATCAGAAAAGTATGCTTACCAAATGATCCATCAGATTCTTTGCAACACCTGGGAGATCAACTTGGCTTTGGATTCCAAGCTTTTCAACTTCTTGTTTAGCACCGATTCCAGATCGGAGAAGGATTGCTGGACTTCCATATGTTCCGGCTGAGATGATAAATTCTTTGCGAGCTTTTACGAAAGATTTCTGGCCAGTGGTATCTTGCAGGAAGACACCATTAGCACGTAGCGCACCAGCTTTATCCTTTTCAAGGCTAATGCGATCGATCTAAGTGTTTGTTCTTATTGCTATACCTGAATTTTCCGTGGAACTTGTGATATAATCTGTAGACATAGTACGAGTGCCTTGGGAGACTGTTCGAACAGCATGTCCGCAGCCATGAGCACTTTTGCCGGTACTAAACATATCTGGAATCAAGGGCAATCCCATTGATTGATATGATTCAAGTACAAGATTTGAAATTGGTGCTGGGTCATGGGGAGATGTGACGATAGGACCATTGTATCCATGTGCATCTTTCTCGGCATCGAACCATGACTTATTGCGAAATGCTTCGGCCTAGGTGGGTTTTAATGATATCCAGTCATGACGGCCCATTTTGGGGCGGTGTGGAAGGCGGGTCAATCAATGTGTAGGAAGTTCTCAATCACATATAAATAAACTACAATGAATGATTAATAATATCGTACCTTTGACATGTATTTAAACATCTCATCCCCACTCCACCTTTCAAGACCCCAATTATCGTAATCTTGTCGATTCCCGCGAATAGCCAGTGTGCCGTTATAACCGCTGCTTCCACCGAGAAACCTTTACTCCAAAGTTAGATCTCAGAAGCAAAAATTGGAGTGTTCAAAACCCCTACTTTCCCCTCGCAAGATGCAACTGACGATTTTCAAGCTCTTCGCAGGGCTCACTCTTGATATTCCAGTCGGCCTCAGTCCCAAGTATCTGTGAAACTCTACGAGGGTGAGTCAGATTATGTCACATGTAGAAACATCAAAGATGTAGACTTTGTTCTTACGCAGCAGGGATTGCAGTAGCAGGGTATGAATCATTGCTAGGCCCGGCCTCAATAATGAGAATCAATGCAGCAGAATTACCTGCAATTCGACCAGCAATTACACAGCCGGAGGTTCCGCCACTGTACGATTAATTAGCCAAATTGTTTATCAATGTTTGAGAAGGGGGAGAAGAAGACAAACCCGCAAATGATGTAATCATAAGTTTCGTTAACAAAGAAGCCCCCTTGATGCGCCATCTTGTGGTTGGGGTCTCAGCAATTTCTGGGTAGGGAAGAGAAGAGGAAGAGAGTAGACTTATATTGAAATCGGAAGCAGGAACGGGACTTAGCGTACGATACAGTGTAGATTGTGGAAGCTCTGCAATATATAAAGGCTTTTTTAGTCATCCCAAGGAAAGCGGACCCCTTTGGGTAGCTTTCGAGCAGAAGTCCATTCATCATGAAGGGCTACAATCCCAGTGTCAGGAATAATGGAGTTCCAGAGTACACCTGTGGCAGTGTCCGTGCCAGACCATGCGCTGCTTTCTTCGAGGGGCTTGCTACTTTCCCATGGGAGGTTTGCTAGGAAGCCGGACCCTGTTAGTGAGTCTTGTAATCCGAAGATTTTTGAATATTGAAAACAGTACCATAAGTTATCTTTTCCTTCGCGGTTAGATGATTAAGGTTCCAAACTTGATACTCCAATTTGATGTTCAAGAGAACAGACATAAATAAAAGAATGAAACTAATGTTGCGCAGTCCATTTTTTTGTGCTCCTTGTCGAGGTTGCAAAACATGAGCATCTTCTTCATCGAATTCTTCTCGACGATTCTGTAGGTCCCCCCGTGCTGTGTCCTCGAAGGGTGAAAATGTCATGCTTTTGAGAGCAACTCTTGCATCTAGTTCAGAACGTTCAGAACTCTGAGGGTAATGAAAGTAGTAAGAACAGGAGTGTCTCGTTATTTCCTGTTTCAAGTCTGCTTGCCTGCGCGGGAGCGTCAGTTCACCAGAAAAATAACGAAAAATATTCTGAGGGTACATTTCGCATGCCCATCGTCGATCTCATTCTCGTTCCTCTATCCTTTCACCCGGAACTCTGGCCAGGAAAATAATGATACCTTGCTTATTGAACGTGAAATTGATGCATTTCCAAACCATACATACTATCTCTCCAGGTAGGAAGTAGAAGCAGGCATCCTAGAACAGCAGGCTGGAAGCAACCGCTACCAGGTAATATCCACAACAAGTCTAGCTTCCTTTTTAAGATAACCGAACACAGTACACCATAGAAAAGGGACCCACTGCTTCTCGCTAGGGAAACACAATTACTTTCCCCGATCCCGATCCAGGATCGTAAGAGAAAACGGCACCACAATGACTTGTCTATGCACCCTGATAATGTTACGAGGTAAATCTGGTCTAGAAAGTGCTTATCATAATACCAGGCGATTTGATCGCCGATAATTCATCAGTTTGGCTGGCTTCGTGCATGCACTATGCAGGCTGATTTTAGTCAACAATGTTCAAGTCACCGTTCTAGATTCATTAAGTCCTTTTTGTAGGTAGCAATGAGGGGTCAAGAGTGCTTTTATCCCTAGGCATCTTTGCTTCTCCCAAATCTACAGCACAAGCTGACTACTACTCACTATGCATTACCTGAAGTTCATCATCGCCTTCATTGGGTATGCATCAGGACGTTCAATTTGTAAGTACATATCAACCACTCAAAATTTAAACCTACTCTGAGACTCAAGATAGTAACCGAGATTAATTCTCCCTATAAGAGAGGAGACGACGTTGCGGACTACAAGCGCGGCGACAATCTGGCAGACTATAAGCGGGGAGATGATCTGGCAGACTACAAGCGGGGAGATGATCTTGCAGATTCCAAATGAAGAAATGAAACTGATCGGGCTGAGCAAGGAAGAAGTGTCAAGGAGACTGAATGTGTCCGATGTTAGATATAGCACTGGATGTTTCAGTTAAGAAATTCACTTCTCGAGCTCATAACTTCCCGAGCAATGCATTTATACTTTTATAAACCCTTCCACGGTTTCATTTTATCTCGCTTGAATATGAATTTGTTTTCTTTGTGTTATCATTCGGGATCCATGTGCACTAGCCCATTCTTAAATCGAAAGCAACTATCCGATCTCACTCCAGAGGAGTTGTATCGGATTTTCAGATATCACTTCTAGATCTGCTTTGCTTCTTCGCCGTAATAGATTTGGTATGAGTTGCAATAATTTCTTTGTTACACAAAAGCGGCATTGAAGGAAGTCAATGTTGGCACACCGCCTTTGATCTACCACTGAGCAGATCATTGTGCGCACACAGATCAATCCTTGACATCTGCGTATGCTACCTATCTATAGGTAATTTCCCCATCTTATGATTTGGGGATTTCTCATTTAGTCGAGAAGTCTTAGTTGAATGCATGTAATTTAGATCAAAATTGACAAGTGAAGAGACAAGTGCTCGTTGAGCTAAAGCTCTCGAAATCGCGTAGCACGCAACGTGTTATATATGGGGTATGCCGAACGCCAATCAATCCTGCTTACATACACTAGTGGGAAATGTATCTACCCTTGATTTTCGGGGTTGAGATATATATTCCATAGGAACCTATACACACCTGTGTTCAAGATGTTTACAAAGTCTTCGGGTATCGACAGCTTGTTTTGGCCTCATCTGATACCATAAATTTACAAGCCAGGTACTGTAGGATCCGTTTCTAGCCTTTCTAATTCCGGAGGACTACAAATATCCGTGGCCTCCCGGCTGAACAGTCTAATCTATGCTTCGGAATAGATACTTGTGCTTGAAAGTTGCCCCATACTAAGACTAATATTACCGTCACTGGGGACAAAGTTGCCTGGAGACTTCACGAGTTCATTCTTAGGAGCAGCCTGATAAGAGTGTCTCGCGTGATGCTAGTTGCGAAGTTTAAGCTTAATGGGTTTCTTTTTGTTGACTGTCTTAACCAATTGTGCGTGATTTGCGAGTCGCAGACAAAAAGGGTACCAGGCTTTGCCGGGCTCAAGGAAGCCATGTAATATGCAATTGCTCTTATACTCATACTTGGTACTTATGTATTAATTGATTAAATAGCGAATGATCGATTATTGAATTTTGTTAAGCATATAAGATGATAGTAGTGAGCATTCAATATCTTTATAAGATTCAATCTCACTGTTTGCGCCATGATTTAGATATCAGTATCTCATCGTCCCAAGACTTTTTTGCAATGAATATCATCAACTTCATCACAAACATGAATATTTTTAGCAGAATGCCGAGTTAAAAGATTGGGTTGCAACAGTAGTTTACAGGTGTAAATAACTTCCTCGTGAAAATAGGACTGTCGTTTGGATTTTCTAGTCTCTTTTTTGCTAGCAACCACCTGGCTTGCCCTGACAAAGCTGTTACGTTGCAGATTTCTTTGCGATTTGAAGCGTGTGATTTTAATGGTTTGAATGATTGGATGGAGTTTTCCACGTATATACACAATTGTTCCGTCAGTCACATATCTCCTTGAACACATGTCCCGACTTTCAAATTCACTTCCTTCTGCAAGTCTTGCCTTTTATATCATTGAATGCATGCTTCTTATCTTAACAAGTCCCGAGAACAGGTAATCAGAAGGTCCACGGGTCTATTCGATAGTTCTTGGCTCAAATCCGACACATGTGATCTCCAAGTGGATTCTCTAATGCTCTTCTTTCACCTTCAGTGGTTAGCTATATCAATAACAATAGCCAATGAGTATTGTTCACTCAACTTTTACCATTAATTGCATCGCATATGCCTAGGTTAAATCTTTCGGATATTACCTAGGTATCCAGAGAGATGATTTCTCTGTTGACTTTGAACTATTCAAATTGAGCCTAGGTTTGATGAACCGAATAAAAGATAATAACAATTCCCTTTCAACAGATGAATAATAAGACCCATTCACTTGAAATGAGATATTACTGCGTGCTTGTGCTTAAGATGATTCACGCCATGAGGGAGAAGAATTTTGAGATGTTTTGAACTTCCAACAGATGAGGTTAGGGATCTGGACATAATATTTCGCTTATGATTTTAAGATCCCACAGTATTGCTTCGATCGTATAGTATTGTTTCGCTTATTGGTTAAAGCTACTCTGCATTTAATGTACTATTATTCCTAGGCCGTTGGACTCTTGCAAAAGGAGCCTCGAAATTCTCTCTGCTAAGTGCAAAGATAGTCTATGAGCTAGATATGATCCTATAAAAATAAAGCCTTTGTTTTGAAGAAGTAGGGTCCTATAAGAATTGGTACTAGCGCCATCCATTTGCTCTTAGCGTGGAAAATTTTGATGTATTCACTGAAGCCATACAAGCTAGCTCATTACAAATTGCGGGCAGTAATCTTAACACGGGACTAGGACCATCGGTTCGTGATACGGAACCTCCAGCGAGCTACTTTAATATCTAGATACGCTCTATATGATTACAAGAATTTTTTTCGTGGCGCTAACTGACCATCGTATGCTCAAGTCTTTCCTGTCCCGACTTTTTTCTATCGTCAGATTACTTCACACTCACTTACTTCGCATACGATCCTTATAATTGCTCCTTTCTTTACACTTTGTTTGATACTTTACAAATCTTCCTACCTGGCCTCGTGGAAAGATGTCGTTCCTCAATGATTACTTCGCTATGAGTCTTCCGGGCTGGCGTCTTTTTATTCTTGCTTGCTTCATGGTAATTAGCATCAAAATTACAAAATTCTTTATCGAACTATACCGCGTTCGTAGCAACTTCCAGCGTATGCAGAGAGATGGATTGGTGAGTTATGGCAAACTTCCGTCTCGGTTTTCATGATCTTATAGCTGACCAAGTCTCAAAGCCAATGCCTCCGCATCACCCGGTGTTTGGTCACTTGAAGTTGATTGGCGAAATTGTATCTCGATTGCCCAGCGATGTTCATCGTCACGTCCTCCCACACCAGATCAAACTCCTCTATCCTAACCTTGGCCCGCTGTTCTACCTGGATACATGGCCCTTTGGTGGTGAGATTTTGGTTGCCGTAGGACCAGATGCAGCTTACCAGATGACCCAATCACACCCGCTGCCCAAGTTTCATGCCATGCGTGAATATCTGAAGCCTATGACAGGTGGAAATGACTTGGTCTCAATGGAAGGCAAAGAGTGGAGAAAATGGAGAACCATATTCAACCCGGGCTTCAGCGCTAGTCATCTTATGACTCTGGTTCCTGATTTGATGAAAGACATGTCTGTGTTCTGCGAGATTCTGAGAAAAGCGGCTGTGAACTCAGAGATTGTCATCATGGATCATTTAACAACTAGATTGAATCTGGATATCATTAGTCGGATGGCTCTGTAAGTAGACCCCTCGGATTCGATTTCGTCAGACTAGTTTCTAACAACGCTTAGGGACACACACTTGAATTCACAGCTTGAGACAAACGATTTCGTTTCTGCATTACTCGGTCAACTAGATTGGTTATCATTTGGACACGAAGTCAATCCATTCCAACGCTACAATCCTATTCGCCCTCTTGTCAACTGGTGGAATAGTCGCCGAATGGTAAAATATATTTGGAGAGAGTTGGATATGCGTTTGGAACGCCGAAACATTGTCGATAAAGGTACCCAAAGCACTCGCAGTAAATCAATCATCGACCTCGCTTTGGATAATTATCTTGCTAGCAAGCCTGGAGGCAGCACTACTTACGCCATGGACACTGCTTTCAGAGACATCGCTACATCTCAATTAAGAGTTTTCATTTTTGCCGGCCACGATACGACAAGCAGTACCATGTGCTATGCCCTTCATTTACTCTGGACTAATCCTAAGACCCGCCAGCTGTTAATTGCCGAGCATGATATGATTCTGGGCCCAGACCACAAAGAAGCAGCAAGAAAAATCACAGAAGATCCGTATATTCTGAACCGACTTCCTTATACAATGGCCGTCGCAAAAGAAACCTTACGATTGTACCCCTCTGCTTCCACTGCTCGTAGCGGTGAGGCTGGCTACTTCATGACAGGATCCGATGGACTTCAATACCCCACCGAAGGATTCATGGTATGGTCAAACTCACACGCTATCCAACGTGATCCTGTCTACTGGCCCGAACCAAGCGAATTTCTCCAGAGCGCTGGCTCGTTGAAGAAGGTCATCGTCTCTATCCCAAGAAAGGCACCTTCCGACCGTTTGAATTTGGACCACGTCAATGTATTGGACAGGAACTTGCGATGATGGAGATGAAGATTTTTCTTGTTTTGATTGCAAGGGAGTTTGAAATTAGGAGTGTGTATGAGGAGTGGGATAGTCTGCATCCGAAGACTGGTCCAAGAACACTCGAGGGAGATAGGGCTTATCAGATCTTGTCTGGAGCTGCTCATCCAAGTGACGGGCTTCCATGCAGGGTGAAGTTGGTTGGAAATTGAAAGTCTGATAAATGGGATCATGAAGCATCAACGGGTAGGATGATGCGAATGGTTGTGTGTCGGACAGAGACATTTTAGTCTGGAACTCATGTAGCTCCGACACGGACTGCTACTGAGAGTCATCAGAAAAGCAGCGAGTTTCGGGAGCGGCGGATAGAACTTAGGATAGAACTTAAGATTCAAAACTTATACTTTGAGTATAACTAAAAATGATATTAGTCGTATAAATAACTTCCATTTCCTCGCCATTTGAACAGTGCTCAAACAAAATATTCCACTGTCATCATCTTTCCTTTTTTGTTCAGATTCGCTTTGTTTAAACTTACTGTTCTTATATGACCGAGTACTCAATTTGTTGACTACTCATTATCAATGCATTAAAATATTTATTATGTCTATCTGAGACGATATATTCAATAATTTATGAAAAGAGTTGGTAACGATTAATTAAGGGAAATCCCAAAGCAGTGCAATCACATCATCGATTCACAACATGATCGATATGAAATAATATCTGGCAAGTTCACCAACATGATTTAAATCATCTGTAGTCCTAGATTACCTATTTCTACGAAAATAATATCTCATTCATCCTATTGAATGAAGTTCTAAATTCGCAATCTGTCTATTCATGGGAGAAGAAATAGATCAGAGTTGATTACTTGCGAAATCCTTTCATGACTCGAATGGTTTAGTTCGATTCAAAGAATTGAAATTAAAAAATGTTATTAGAATTGAAGAATTTTCAAGGGTTTGTTTAGTATTATCAAGTCTGGAAATTCTTTGCGTGGTCTATTTATTACTGAATTTATGAGTAATAAATTTTGCCCATTTTTCCTCCTGTTCTCGGCTATTCAATCTGTTTAGCATGGGCGCATAACAGGAAGTATACAATAAGACAATCTTGGTAGCCGTCGGATCTTTTGTAAAAAAACTAACTCGTCCAGAAGTACAAATTTCAGGCTTGAGAGAAATCTCAATCGTTCCCAAGATTCCCATCTCAAGCATAATCACATTATTAACCCATTAGCGGACCCTACTCCTATTTCCCCACCCCCTCAACTTTCACAGCCTTCCCATTCTTCCCATTCCACACTACAATCGAATCATCATCCTCCGACTGACCCAACTTCATTTCCTTGCAGAAAGCCCCATCGATGTTTATCAGCCTGCGCATCGCCATGCGACTCAGACGCTAACCCGAGAAACTCTCCTTCTGTCATAAACCCCCTTTCTTCCAGAAATTTTCGCGCCGCGTCAGTTTTTTCCTTGATCTCAAAAACTTTTCTAGTCTTATAATCTCCACGCATTCTGGACCATCTTCCAACACACTCGCAATACTCATTTGACCTCCAAAAAGATATTTCGGTTTTACAATCTCATCCGAAAGACTATCCAGCGATGCACGCCAGGGGAAATACCCCTCCACACCCTGTATTTCACCCTCCAGCCTCTTAATCCACACAATGGTCCCCTTGACTCGAACATTTCTATGCTGTGCCCCTCTAATTCTAAATCCCAAACGTCCCAGATTCTCGAACGTCTTGAGGAAAGCATCGCTGATTTTTTGTCCTTCTTGGTACAGTGCCTTCCAGATAGGAACTCTCAAGCCATTTGCTAGACCCCAACAGTCTTTAAACATACTGGCTTGGCTTGCTACTTTGAAAGTGATGGCGTGTTCGCAGGGATGGTACCACGTGTTGGATTGTACTGCTTTGTCGCATCGTTTGAATTCGAAGAGATCGGTGTCGGGGCAAGTCTGGCATTTGAAGGCTACTCTGATGCAGTAGTCTGGTAGGGTGGTATGATCTTGGGTAACTGGTGGCTAGGGGACACAGCGCTCATTGTTGAAGGAGACATGTATGTTGGTTGATTTTGAAATGTGTGTTGAGGGGTTTGAGATCCATACCAGAGAGAGTTTATATATACGACTGAGCTAGAATGACAGTTTATATAAAGGATTTCTTGGGATTCCCTCTAATATGCCATACTAAATGAGCCGTACTTAAACTTTTGCATTGTTTCGACTATATAAAGCATTCATGGTGAATGCCGAAAAAGTGACTGAGTGCGAATGAATGGGGCCTTCAGCAAGTCATTTGCTGCCGAAAATGTAATTATCATTGATGATTCAATGTGATGAAAATTGTTTTGGGAATACATGTCAAGACTCTCTGTAGACATTGAAAGTTGAAGGAAAAAAACAAAGTTCAAGCATTTTTTTTCTTTGGTTGAAATGACTCCACGTAATTGATTATCATAATGGAGTCACTATGAATAATATTCAATATCAGCCAACATTTCTTGACTAAAAGATCTCGACCAAGTATCACAAAGTGCATTCATAGATCATGGGAAGAAAGAGCAATCTCTACTTGCGATTTCATGAATATTCCATTCCAATATTTCTGGAATTTATCTTCCACGAAGTCGAGGATGCCTGCACCATTTCGAATGAACGATAAACGTCTAGTATTCATACGATCTGTAGCCAGCCCTTAATAATTCTTTCTCCTTCCTCAAGTATAATTGTCTGCTCCCTGATTTGTTTTCTATTGAGATTTTAACAACGTAGACCATCCGGATCTTGTTGCGGGCAGGAATTCGCTAGAAGCCCATAGACAGATGGTTCAATCAAGGGACGGTAGTATCAGTTGAATTACCTGCTCAATAACTCTGGGGCAAGGATCTACCAGAAGAACAGTGTCTCCAAAATGCTTGGATTAGGATATAATCGGATAGATTTGGTGGACAGGAGAGAGATTCTATGAAAGGAAATAATAGAGTGCAGCGAGAAAGATGACCCTTTCTTAGAATCTATCTTGGAACTGAAATTAAAATATCATGAATGGTTTGTAAGCCAGTCATGAACCTAGATATAGCGGTAATTTTAAATATATAAATGAAAATCAAACAATTTTGTCGGCAACAAATCCCGAATTTACGCTAGTTTGTGTTCCACTTCCATAACCTCAATACCGTTTTCTGGGCCAGAGCTCGATTTTTGAAACTCTTTTTCTTCTGCAGCTCTCCCGAGTCTTAAGTCTTCCTCTTCATATATTTGCGGTCTCTGTAGCTGAGTAGCTATCTTATTTCGGTAGATGAAGAGTCCAGGTTTACTTTCAAAGAAGCGATCAATATCCTCTAAGCTCCTGTTTGCAGTCTCCGGATAGAAGAAATATGTAATTGGAACGAAACTCGCGCATATGACTGCCCAAATAATCCAGAATCTCCATCCAAGATTTGCAATTCCTGACGGAGTCACTTCGGCAACCATGTAGTTCATAATCCAGTTGGTAGCCATAGCTAGAGATGCACCCTTGGTACGCATCTCAAGAGCATTGATTTCGGTAGGATAGAGCCATGGAACTCCTAAAACACCCATACCAAAAGATGCAAAGAATGCAAAGAAGAACGAGACTGCCACAGCTCCGTATTGATAGCTATATGCTGGATCAGAGACAGTCAATGCAAGTACGATGGTGATGATAATCCAGCAAGTAGAACATGCAAATGCAGAAACCATCATCACACGTCGACGACCATATCGCTCAATCACAAAGTAGGCTAAACAGGCGAAAAGAAGATAGTCGACAGATCCTGCGGCTGCAAGAATGCGTGCTCTAATTACGTGTTAGTTGCGAGCGACCTGAATGCGAAAGGAGTCCTACCTTAATTCGGATATTCCTAGTGCATGAATGAAGACGTATGTCATGTAATAACTAGTGACATTGATACCACTGATTTGATTCATTGCTTGCATCCAAGCTCCTAGGATCATACGTCTCAAAACTCCAGATGGACCTTTACCAGACAGCAATTGAAACCAAGTATATGTGTTCATATGTTCTCGATCCAAGACGTCCTTGATGATATTGAATTGCTGTTTCACAGATGGAGAGTCGATTGTTGCACCATGACCCTCAAGTGCCGCGAGAACTTCATATGCCTCTTGGTGTCGCCCCTTTCTAATGAGCAGCCGCGGCGAATCTGGTAGGAATGGACATAAGGCCCAGATTACAGCAGTGAAGACTAACATATTGTTAGTATAATATCGTGTTCAAGTATTTAGAGAGCCCACATATTTGGAAAGCCAGAGGGAATCTCCATGCCACACTACCCTTGGTGAATGAAAATCCAAGTGTAAGCCAATTAGAGATCGAGAATCCGGTAATGCAATTAGCCATCTGAATAATGACAAGTTTTCCACGACTTCTCATCTTGCTAGTCTCGGCTTGCCAGACACCTGCAGTTGCGGTGTTCATTCCTGTTCCCAATCCCGCCACTATTCTTCCCACCATCATTTGCGCAACACCGTAGCTAGCAGTTTGAATGAGTGCACCCAAGGCAATGATGGTGCTTCCTAGGAGTATTACTTTAGGTCGACCAAGAAGATCTCCAGTCCAGATAGTAGAGAGCGCGCCAAAGAAACAGCCCAGATTATAGACCGAAGTTAAAGTCCCTTGAACACTTGTTGTTGGGTACCCCATCGTTCGAAGAAAGTCGTCGCCAACTAACACATTTCCAAAAACACCCTAACACAGTCAGTCAGTACTTTATTTTTTTCTAATAATCCTGGCAGGACACTTACCTGGTCGTAGCCATAGAAAACTAAGACTGTCGAAGCAGCAATGGATATCCATACTGTCAATGCCTCACCAGAACCTCCAAGGTACTTTCGAGCCATTGTACGAAATTGAATTCAAATATAACTACTAGCTGCAGAACTTGCAATCTTGCATATCGCAACTTCACAAAGACTGGAGAACTTCTAATGGCTTTATACTTGACAATCGCCAGGATGTACTCCCATGTCCTCCCTTGTGCAGTCGTGCTCCCACACGATGATGCATAGTGTCGATCATTACCAGATTGGAAATTTTGACGATAGACGAGATAGACGGCTTCATTTGAATACAGTTTGACAGCCATGGCTGGGGCCAAGACAGCGGGACGAGTCATTATTTTCTATTTGATATTAGCAAAATCGTGGGGACCCCAGATTTCGGTGGATTCGCGGGAAGCAAGCGGGGTAACGTTATCTTGGAGTTTCAAGATTCGTATCCATCAGTGGGTGTATTGACTGATGGAACACTTCTCAACATTAAAATGTGTGAGAAATCTATTCTTCAATGGTTTGATCCCAGAAACTATACTCCCATTTCTTGATCTGCAACAAATCATTGAATTGAATTTCGAAATATCTGAAGCGATATTTCGAGAGATATTGCCAAGTCAATTTCGAAGTGTTCCGCCAGTCCGTGCACCCGCTGATGATCCAAGCATGTAAGCTCGTAAGCTAGAAGCTAATCCGGATAACTTTCCCGCTCTAGCAAAGTCATATACGTTTTTTTGCTTTTTTGACCTCGCTCGACCTTCCTTTCCTACTTGGTGTTCTCGCCAAGTGACTGGGATACACATGGGGGTAAAAAATGGCGGGGTGAGATCAATATGTTAATCGTCTAAAGGGATGTTTCACGACGAGTTAAACAATAGCTTCTTTCTTTGCAATATTGAACCAGATATTCATCATTAACTCATCAAGCCATTCCTTTTACCCGGCTTCAATCATCCCACCTACCTTGCGTCGACACGTCGTTAGTTTGCCCACATAGGACGGTCCACGTATTCCGAGCCATATTCTTGATATATAAATACATTCATGTCAACTGTAATACACTTTCCATTCAGAATCATAAAAAAACACCTGAAATTACACAAACATGGCTATGAACGTTCAATCCAAGACTGCTATTGTCACTGGAGCTGGCTCCGGTATCAATTTTTGTTTCGCAAAATTGCTACTCAGCAAAGGTTGCAATGTTGTCATTGCAGATCTCGCTCTGCGCCCAGAAGCTGAGGAATTGATATCGAAATATTCTGATTTTTCAAATGGTCCAAAAGCCGTGTTTCAGAAAACGGACGTAACGGAATGGGTTCAGTTGGAGAAAATGTTCGAAGTAGCATCGGAGCAATTTGGTGGTGCTGATATTGTATGCCCAGGAGCCGGTGTCTTTGAACCAGTTAGTTTCCACAAACCAGGATTGAGAATAATAGCTAATTGATGACCAAGCCATTTTCAAATTTCTGGATCCCTCCTGGATCCTCCCCTTCCGTCGACAAAACCTCCGAATCACGATACAAATTACTTGATATCAACATCACTCATCCGATACGCGCAACTCAAATGGCCATTGAGCATTTCATGAAGCGGAAGAAGCCTGGTACTGTTATTCATATATCCAGTATTGCTGGTCAAGTTCCATTCTTTCCAACGCCAATGTATGTAGCGTCCAAACACGCTATATCAGGTTTTGTTCGTACATTGGCACAGTTGGAATTTCCTTCTCCTGATATTCCCAAAGTACGCATAAGTGCAGTAGCACCTGGTCTCATTAAAACCCCATTGTGGATAGAGAATCCCGAAAAGATGGCATTCATCCCTAAAGATAGCCCGGATTGGGTAACGCCAGAATTTGTTGCCGAAGCAATGTTAGAACTCATCGAGAGTGAAGAATACCCTGGAGGTACAATTCTCGAAGTTGGCAAAGTAAAGAGGAAAGTGGAAGTCTTCAACGACCCTGGACCTTCACGAACGTCAACGGCAGTTACACATGTACCTCGTGAGACTCTGGAAGCTGACATATGGGCATCTATGAAGAAGCAATACCAATCTTAGACTAAACCTTCACAATGAACTGGTTGGAACCATTCAAGAAGAGAGCCGCGGGCATTCACTCAAAGCATGAAAGTTATATGTTATTATCTTGGCATTTACTACGAAGTTCTTATTTGGGGAATACCTCAATTAATGAAAGGCTTCCTTCATGTGATAATCATATCACAGTGTTTCGGTATTGATCCTTCAGCGTGAGCTTACTCTCCGATTCGTGTGGATAAGCCAGAAAATAATCATGGACAACCCTGAAATCTCTTAATGTGATGTCAATGCTCCTCTGGAAAGCAACATAAGTCCCAACACTAAGAGACACTCCCCCTATCTTCAAGGTTCTGCTCTGAGGAGCAGAATTCCCCTCCATAGCAACAACAACGAGAGGTCCTTTCCAAGCATGCTTCATCTTGCCAGCCGTGATTGAGCTTGCAGACTGCGTCATCTTTGATCCGTCAGATCCAAAATTGTCTCGCATGTAAACAGCAAGAGTGTGTTTCATATTTCGTGCTCGCATGATCCACTGAGGCTTAATAAGGAGTTGTTCGGAATCATAAAAATCTCCTGAGCCATAAGTGAGGAATTCATCGACATCTGGTAGGTCAAACTGCCCTTCGACACCAGGAATTTCGATCTTGTTGAAGTTTACCCATACTAATTCTGGGCGTTTAAAGTCGGGTGAAAACAAAATGCCAAGCTTGTGGGCGGGACTTGGACGAGGAGGCATTCTGGTGATCTCCTTGCAAAGGATTTTGTGGAGAGGCCAATCGAGGGTTTGACATTCGGAAGAACAGTAGGCGGCGGACTTGCAGCGTGCACAGTCTTTTGCTGGGAAGTTGCAAATGGTACAGGTTGATGCCGGTGGGGCCGAGCTGGCATCGGCACTGGTGGTAGAAGCCATGTTTTGTGGGTTTTTGATGGAGGTCAATCGAAGAGGAGCTTCGAAAAAGTAGCTGGTGGGAAAGGATATGGTATCATCAAGACAGAGAATTCAGAAGGGAAGCTAGGGTCTATACTAGTAGTGAATTTGTGGGAGTTTTTCTGTGCTTGCTCAGGATGCGCATATGCAATGCAAAAGACACAAACATGCCGACATTTAACTCATTTATCACTTTCAAATGTGATTCAAATTTGAAGGAAAGAACCTACTAATAGAATATGTGCACATCGCTCATAGAGCGCACATTCTAGAGCATCCGAAGAGTTGACCATAATGAGTTGGTTGAACCGAACAATTGCTGGGCGATGCGACAGTCACTAGATAGGCAGGCATTGATGTCTAATGCGGGGTGAGTCACATGTTATCGCGCCCATGACCTTTTAGCGCGTTTGTATTCTAGAATAAAACTACCGGATGATTGCCCTGATGGAAAGCATCGTCGAGATTCTGTGAACCCTTTCTTTTAACCACTCAGGTACCTAGAATGTTCATGGATTAACTAGGTAATAAGTGTCCCATAATCGAAGTACTTGAATTCCACTGGAACTTAAGAAGTCAAGTTATCGATTTGATTGCACGAGGCAGCTTTCAAGCAACACTCGGCATCACAAGTCGATCGGTACGTATCGCAATTACCCACAATATTCTTTCAATAACCTAGCTTGCTATTTGCTTCAGAGGATCAACTGACTTCTACTCATTTACAGGACATAGATTTCTACATAACTGCTAGTCTCGATTTCGTCAAGGATTACAATTCCCAAGATGGTTGTACTCGACAAACTTCCAGGTCTAGATGTCACTATTCGAGTGAACGGAGTCCAAGCTCAGGAATATGATGACGATGAAGATATAGAGGTTGGACCGGGACGGAGCGGCGCACATCAAGCTTTGAGAACAGTATCTAAGTATATTGAAGCCATCGATGGGGCCGAATTCAGCATTGTTTGCACTTTGTTACACAAATTCAAGTTCAGAGCGCCAAACCTCCAAGCAGTTGTATCCGTCGATGGCAATTATTCTCAAGGGAAAATCATCGCACCCGAAGAAAGAGGAAGATCCCCAACGCAATTTGACGGCCCAATCAATTTCCATCCCATCGGAAACCGGTCTACAGTACAAAAATACAGGTTTTCTGAGCTCCGCATATGTTTGTTTCCACAACCTCGCAAGTGTCAATACGTCGATGCCGTGCTAACATTGCGAAGCGAGCGAAGAAGGTCGACTCTCGAACCTGAAAAAGGATAAGGCCGAAGCCGAGAAGGTTGGTACAATTGAGATCAGAATCTGGCGCGCTTCCAAATCAGTACCAGCCGAGTCTATATATCGCGATGATATTAAGTCGAGTTCCAATGAGTTCCATGAGAAAACTCTCAAAGGACAAGCGAAATCACACAAAGTTTCGTATGTTAGCCATGATCATAGAATCACCAGTCAACTTACGGTCTTAGGTATTCCCCAGAAATTACTACTTCCAACCCGAGATGGGTAAATGTCACAAAACTCGACGGCAAAGATTACCCCATAGCCATTTATAAGTTTAAATATCGATCAAGAGGTACAGTGAACAGCTGCAGAACTGGAAGGCATCGCTAATATTGATATAGAATCTCTTAAGCAACTAATGATCATTGAGCGGACCCCCGAACCGGAAGATAGCCCAACACCAAGTCCTGCACCAGATGTTAATCTCGATAATCTGACCGCTGCTCAAAAGGAGCGCCTCAAGGCATTTCTGCGCAACGAAGGAATCGCTGTAAGTAGTGCAGTAATTTCAACGGCATACAAAATCTAATATATTATGTAGGCGGATCGCGCGTCTAATACACCCGAGAGAAAAATCAAGCGAGAGCGAGAGCACGGTGAAGGCAGCTCAAACCAAGCACGACAAAAGAAGTCCAGAACTACAGAGGTCGTTGATCTTACTGCAGATTCTGACGAAGATGCGTGATAGTGGAGCCACATCTGCAAATTTAAATCGGCTGGGATATCATTTTCATTTTGCTCGGGGGCGTTCTCTGTTTGCTAGTCAAAATTTTGTTCGTCAAATATACCCCGATTATTTATTGAGTATGGGAAGATATTCAATGAGTTTGATGGCGTAACGGAGGGGATGGAAAGACAATTTTAATGGCCCAATGGCTCAATGACACAACGGCGTCACGTCAGTTCAATTTTGAATTCATATTTTTATTTGGCCTTGCAAGCTCTTAGATAACGGCCTTACTTAGCCATTTTAGAAAATAAAGAAAGACTAAACAATTCTGCCTGTAGCTCTCACGATATGTGAAGTTACAGCATTAGTATGCTCATTCGAAAGCTTCGCAACGGAACAATAGCACATAGCAGGCTTAAGCATGCTGTTGCACCTCTTAAAAACGCAAGGATGCTTTCTTCAATTACAAGTCTGTCTTCTCAAGCTCCAACCCATATTGATGGATACCAAATTTCCTTATAATTCTGCACATCAATATTCGTGCACATTGACTTACTGCTAGATATCAATTTGATTTATTTCTAATTCAAGTCATCACGAGATGAAAATCTGGTCGACAAATTGCAAAAGTATCTGTGGAGATAGGGAGAGGTAGTGGGTGGTTCAATGTCATGGATATGTTGCTGTTCTGGAATTGTTTGAAGTGACCGGCTGGAGGTGATGTTTGAGGTTGGGAGATATAGAGTGAAGTAGATGATTATGGAGATGAGATTGCTTTGTTGTTCTCATCGTCATTGTGATGGAAGTGTTGAATGAGAGTTGTGATACGATGGGCTTCATTTCTTCGAATACGACACGTACTGGAGGAGATATCTCAACGGCTTTTACCAGATGCGTGAGTTATCATATCTATAATCGTCGTTGATACCGGAACCAATACCACTCTTCGTCTGATCATCTCAAATTCGATAGAATGATATGGCTCTTACATCAGATTACTCTGAAGGTCAATATATTAAAGCACTTCATAGCCCACAATCATAGGAATCAAAGCCTGAAAGTTTTGTTAAAATGGGTTTCAAGTGGCTGTCAATTATAAACGTTATCCTCCAAACGGATCTTTGAGCTTTCGAAATGATTGTTGCGCCTCGAAAAGATCATTAAGAGTTTAGCTCGATGTTTGTACTGATGTTCAGAGAGGTTTCTTTGAGTGACGAGCAGCCCTGAGAGTGAACCAATGTGCATTTTCTGAATGGTTGTGTGGAACTACTAAAGAAACGAACTTTTGTTTATGCCTTGGCTAGCTAATAGACCTGAAATACTAAGCCGTCTGGGTTTCACCTGTTCTTGATTTGAATGTCGAAGTAATATCGTTTCCGTTAAACTGTCCCCGTACTATGCTCAATTGCAAGTTGCGCCATGAAACCGTGACAAAACACCCCAGCTGACCCATAGAAGCCCGAAAACAATCGTTGAAATTGCCCCCATTTATCTTTTGAACCCCGAAAACCCCTGCGAATATTGGCCCATTATTCAATCCGAATCATCTCCTGTCAAATCAACCTCAACACGTTCGTTTCTCTTTGATCGCTTGTTGGTCTTGGAATCCATGCCAGTTTCCTCTCTTTCCCGCTTAATCTTCCTCTCTCCATTGGATTGACCTTCATTTCCCTGATGAAGATATAGTTAGTGGTGGTGCGAGAAATGATAGACAGGACATACCAGTAAGTTTCCCAGAAACTCCTGAAGCTTAGCTTTCTGGGTTGCATCAAGCTTCTCAAGATCAAAAGATCCTGAAGCAACATTCGGAATTGGAGCAGGAGAGGGAGAAGGGGATGGTTCTGGGGTTCTTTCGAGTATCAAGAGAGACTTGAGTGATTCTGCGACGGTTAGCAACTTCTATGGACTTGCTGTAGGGTGTTTCTGACTTACCTTTGGATCTGTACTTGAATCGATATACAGCGATTGGGCGGTCTTTTCCGTCCAGGTAGCTCATATTCCAAAGAATAATTGCTTTCGTGGCCTGAGGAGCTCCTAATCTGTGCGAATTTACCTGTTAGAGACTTTTGATAGTCCAGAATCGGGGGTGAAAGATGATAGCTTACGTAGTACTATGCGACATCGCTTGTCCCTTGAGCGCCTTCTCATGCACCGATTCTGATGATACGGCCGCTAGATTTTTGGGAACATTGAGCCTCTTTGATTGATTCTTCGAACGAGTTCTTTCACCTCTTCGATAAACCTTTACCACGATCTCTCCAACAACACTCATTCGGGTTGCATCCTCTTTTATAGATGCTAATTTTGAATCATCGGTAGCTTTGAAATGGTTAGTAAGAGGGTGCCAAAATGGTTCTAGTAACAACGGCTAATTACTTGTGATTATGTCGCTAAACTTCAATGGCATCAAGAAGACTTTCCCATTTTCAAGCTCATCTGTGACACCTTTCATTTTCTTAGTCCTAAATAGAAGATTAGTTTGTAGGCATAGGGAATAGAAAAACTCGTAAATATTCAACTCTGAAGGACTCCGGTACAGAGCTGCCTTTCAAAATTAGAATACTCACAGAGGAGCATCTTTCTTGCCGCAATGTCTCGAACAAACTTTCATCCCATCAACAAAAACCTGGAAGGAAATATTCGGAGAGTCAAATTTGTATGCTTTTCTTATCTCCAGGTTGACGTAGAACACGTTGCCGGTGGTCGATTCAATATATTTGGAAACCGTTTTGGTAGCTTTATCATATCCTCCAGCCTCTGCAGAAACACACTCAGGCTCATGGTCGTCGTACTCTTGGAGAGCTTGCTTATCGACGCATACTGTAACTTCGATCCCACGAACGTCCTCGAGGACTGCCATGATGACGGGACAACAATTTCAAATGGTCAGATGTTACAATAAAGAGTGTCAAGATTTGTTCAATAGTATTGATAAGTCGAAGTATTGCGACACGATGTTTGGTTGAAGTGTAAGGTCGAAGTTAAGATTATCTAAAACATAAAAGATGGAACACACACGCGTGGCTTTAGTACCCAGCGCATCTTTGAATCTTGGGGAAGAGAATGGAAAGATTAATGTTTTGTATAGAAATATCTTGGTACCCCCTCCTCCCCCCGCCCCCCAAAGGTGAGCAGTAGTGAATAAGAAATAAGCCGCACCATCACGTGATGTTACCGAAAGACAATGGCAAACGAAAGTGCAATTTCTGTCTCCTTTATTTTACACTACATCAAACATATAATCTTCTCTACTCTTTATGGATACTGAAATTTCAATTCTTTCTATGTTCTCCTTGGACCACAAGAGCATTCCAGAGAGCTCCAGAAACGCTGGGGATATTGGAATATTCTAACTTGAGAAAGAGTTTTCCGCCAAAACGGTTGTTGGAGATGTACCAAAGAAAGATAATTATTAATGCAATGTGTGTTATGAATGAGCCGGCTATGATCGTATAAGTGTTTGACTGACTGTTTCCACAGGTGTCTTTTTACGTCTCTCGAGCTTAAGCTCTCCGAATGTGATTTTTGAACCTCAACTCTACCCGATGGATACCGAGTTCTTGTGCTCTGCCGGGAGTATCAATCCTGCAAGGACGACACGTTGACAGTCCTAGGCCAGTGCACCTCGATGTCGGTAGTCAAAATAGTATTGCCCTCTCTGGCCAGTGTGTTAACCGCGTGTGCATGTCTAAGGCTGACGCAGTCATGAGTTCCTAGAATTAGTTGCCACAAACTTAACACTTTAAAGGTTTAAGTTCGAAGTATATTGTTAATCTTCCGTACGTTTAGATTTGAACTCTATTGTAAATATTCCGAGTTCTCGACTTTAATCAGGGCTTATGTTGATTCGTTCAAATCTTGTTGCTTCCCCCACGTACAAAACAGTGCTCTACGTACCAATAGACACTTGCTTCATATCTCGACTATTTTTCACGTCTTTTCTTTCACAAGCCATTTAAAATTTGGATAGGCGCCGAAATCGCTTCTGCCCCTTTAGCCAAGCCGCGTCGAAAATCACTGGCTTTTTCATATTATTTCTCTTGAGGTTTCGCTCTCAAACACTCGAGTCATGGTATGAAAAATACAACATCGCGGTATTGAACAAGTTACAACAGCATCGGGTCGGGTCGCACTGATTGGAATTCTGAAATCACTTAATAGCACCAGCTCAGAGATTAGGACAGTAGTCTTTATAGTCTCGGCCACCATTACAGAAAAAATCACAATGGAGAAAATGGCCGTGCCTGGTTTTCTGAAGCTCCGGCGGACATCCAGAAATGCACTGCGCATTGGGCGCCTTCCTCTGTGGCTTGATCTAATTTGCGGACGATCAACAACTAGCAAGTGGGGTGTTGACGCACGTCTTCTTCTGCATGTCAGGGGTTCATAATTTGAAGGCCTGAGTTTGACGGGTCGCCTGCTTGTATGGAGAATACCACCTACCAGCTCGGTGGAATTTCCATGACTGGCCCTACGACCGCGACGTGGAAGTCAAAGGCCAATCCTGATATCTATTCATCTATTGATAAATGTCATTGATGTTCTATCCACAATGCTTATGTCCGAAAATCCCCATTCAAAACTCTCAACAAAGGAGGGATGTATGTGATAGATTTTGGACCCCATCCAGCCGCCTCATTGACTCGCGGGCAAGTAAGTCGCATCATGTCTTTTCATATAACAGGACTCAAGTCCTCAAGACCTGTTGTGATGCTGCCTTTCTCTTTTTCGCGGTTCCGTTATACCAGTGTAACTTTCTTTCATCATGTATATCGACATCACAGCCACATTGGACTGGACCGTTCCTAATTACGTTAACCCTGAAAGATATGGACCCTCCATATTCATTGTTCATGGAGTACTTTACCCGATTGTTTTGACGATGCTGGCAATTCGCATTTATACTCGCATGTACATATCAAAGTGTTTCGGTTTGGATGATTGTTTGGCTCTCTTTAGCATGGTTTGTATCTCCAAGTCTTTCATATATCTCTACAGAAACTAAATTATATTCTCAGATACCCATCACTGGTTTTGCTGTCATGAGCATTTTTGTTGAAACATATGTTGGATGGGATGTCCACGCTTGGGATGTTCCCTACGATTTGCTTGCCCTTGGTCTCAAATGCATCTATACAACGCAAATTCTGTTTACACTGGCGCTCACTCCTATAAGAATTTCTATGCTGTGGCTTATTGCTCGGTTATTCGAAAATGGGGCTCCTAAACTCCGACGCGTTGCACAAGGGGTTATGATATATATTCTCTTGCACGGCTCGATCTTCGCTATTACTTTGACATTCCAGTGCAGGTAAGCATCGACAACGATTACCAATTGAACTTTACTTGACTAATTATCTCAAAGGCCAGTCTCTGATTACTGGGCAGTTTCCTTCAAACCCCAGCCAAATTGTATCAACCAAGAAGTCCATCTCCTCTTCACGGCCATCTGTAATGGAATTAGCGATTATGTAGTTGTGATTTTACCAATGCATACAGTATGGAAATTGCAACTGCCCTTCAAGCAAAGAATATCTCTCTGCATGCTTTTCGCAATTGGATTTATCGCCTCTACCGCGAGCATCATTCGAACGGTTTACGTGTGGTACGCTACATCGAACTATGATAAAACCTGGACCACATATCCCGTATTCATATGGAGTTCAGTCGAACTTTATCTCGGCCTCGTAAGTATAAATTCCGCCAACAACTATCTGAGTATATTTTCTGACTAATCATTCAGTTTTGCGCGTGCATGCCACCAAGTGTAGGTTTCTGGAAACTCTACTACCCCAAGCTCGTCGGTACTTTCAACCGATCCGAACAAAACACATCCAAATCGAGTAAATTCTGGAGCTCAAAATCCGGATCCAAACAAGATCGAAACAATTCTCACGAACTCGCCGATACGGACGATGAGGAACGAGGTATCATTGTTGAGCAGGGCGTCACAATCGAGACTTACAATCACACGAAGGACGAATCTATGGGAATCCAAGGATCGTGTACGGTGATAGATCAATCGCCTCAGTTGCCCAATTTCTCTTTCAATAATAATCATCAACGATATCTATAGTTATATTAATGTAATATCAAAGTCATATTGTTCATATTTGTCTTTTGCTTCGAATGTACAGGATCTTTCCAGGTGTCCTTGGAGATACCTACACACAGCATCTCCCAACTAGTCACAGACTAGACTCTACCGTCTCGGATCTCTTTTCTACCTCGAATCTCTTTTCTACCTCGAATCTCTTTTCTACCTCGAATCTCTTTTCTACCTCGAATCTCTTTTCTACCTCGAATCTCTTTTCTACCTCGAATCTCTTTTCTACCTCGAATCTCTTTTCTACCTCGAATCTCTTTTCTACCTCGAATCTCTTTTCTACCTCGAATCACCATTTCACTCAAACTGAGTCACATATACCATCGATCGCCTAATTTCTCTACACATATAACACGGCGGAGAATTTCAGAACCTTAATACACGCCTCTTCATCTACAGACTCGGCAAATCCCCCGAGAACCAAGATACCATCTTTCCAAACCCAACAATCCAAAAGCGATAGAGTATAGCACCAGTCAGCAAAGGAAAACGATGAACGACGAACCAATCACCCACATAAATACGAGCCGAGAAACCTACATTAAAAGTAATAATCCTACAAAAGACCCGCGGACCGGTCTCTACAGATGTGTCTGCATATCCCGCTCACCATATGCATTATCTCAAATACCAAAAGCGCGAAATACAAAGCTGGAATCTATATCTACGAACCCTCCCATTATCCAGTAGAATATATTTGTGGACGGTCCTTCGATTTTCTGGCCCCGCGTACACAACAAGAAATTCATGTCACTGTTTCAATCTCATCTCTACCCACTCGAGATACATTTCAAATCATAAAACACATGAATTCTTGAAGAATTACTCACGGCACAAGGCATCAAATTAAGCGGAAGATGAAACGGCGAGATGCACATATTCCATATTTTGTCCTCAAAGTGATAGAGCTCTAGACATACACTATAAAATGATTAAAACGTCCGTTCAATCGAATTTATCCTTACAATCAAGAGGTACAAATCCCAGCTTCCTAGATTTATCTTCTATCTTGCATTATCCATTCTCTTCTACACTAATTTCGCAATCTAAATGAGAGTAGAGGTATCTAAATAAACTCATCGGTCCACCTTGAAATAGTATGATAGGCTGGGAACCCAAGCCCAAACAAACATGGAATACAGCGGAGCGAGTTTCACTTTGCTGGTTCATATACATAACGCCTTACCCATCTCATAATTCATCCAATATCGCTCATTCTCTCAAAGAAAATAATTTCCCGTTTCTACCAGCATTATCTCCAACGATTCTTCTCTTCCTTCAACAACCATTCGAAGCTCCACCACTCCCCACCATCCCAACATTCGTCCCCAAAGCCAAACCATTTAAAATTCCTAAATAATCTAACTCCCCCGCTCTAAAATTCTCCTCAAAGCCATCACTCACTGCATTTCCATTTCCTCGACCAACCCCCTCAAACTCCATCCTCGTTCCCAGTCCCACATATCCTCCATTACCGCCTTTCTCTCTCATTCCACCCGTCCCCGGTATCGCCTTTCTACCCTCTTCTCTCCCTGCACTATTCGCAAAGACGCCTCTAGCAATAACCTTCAATTCTCTTTCTGTCCCCCTCGCACCCTCCCAAACCCCCGCTAACACCTTCGTAGCACCCAATCCCAATCTAATCCTATCCCTGGCCATCTTCCACTCAATCGATCTTTCGAAATTTCCTCCTCTTTCCCTGTCATCTCCTCTGTTATTATACACATAAGCACAAGCACTAAGATTTGCCAGCGTTGCTTTTGTAATCCCACAAATACCGAGAGGCGTGTGTGATAATATTGGACTAGGAAGTGCATAGAGATTCATGGCCGTTTGGGCTGCCTCGATGGTCTTCTTTGTGTGGAGCCAGCGGGTCAGATCTTCGTTGCCGGTTGGTGGAGAGGTGGGTGGTGGTGGTGCGCAGCCGGAGATCTTCTCTAGTGGTGAGTGATAAAGGCGAGATAGTGGACGGTGGATAACTACTAGAAGTCTGCACCATTGGTTAAGATCGTGCATTCAAACATGATCAATTGGTGAAAGGAGTCTATTGGAAGTGAATTCAACATACGTCTGTAGTAAATTTTGTGCCTGAAATAACAATTCATCGACTTCCTCATGCTTATCCACCACCCCTTGTTTCTCCACTGGTAAATGGAGTTTCCAATTCACAAGCATAGCATCGGCATTTGTAACAGCAGGCTCTAGATTTTTTCCTGTGATATCATTGATGCTAAGAATTGTACCAATGATGCGAACAAGGTCAATGAGATATGTAAAAGAGGAGAAGACTGGAATCTCGTCTTCAAAATCACGGGATTCATAATCCGAGAGAGTGCGAGGTCGCGGAATATGCTAAGAGAAGTTTAGAAATTTCAATCATCACAAGTGTACTAGATGATATCAAGAAAGTGGAATGACTTACTCCGCTCTCATATTCAAAGTCCTCACAGGGCAGGTCCACATATGTTTCAATTGCAGATAAGCTAGAATGAGTCAGTATATAATCTGACTGTTGTAAATCTCCTTGTATCGCACTCACATAAAACTAGATGCACGAGCAATACCAGAGAACACTCCATCAAGAACATACAGTCCCCAAAAGGTTCTCCTCCAGCTCTCAGCTAATACCGGATCTCTTTCCATTTCAGCAAAAGCTCGATGATTCATACCGAGCTCTAACGCCATGCATATGTCTCTATCTAAAATAGCACGTGCTTGTTGTCTTTCGTCTTCGGCATGGAGGGCAATGGCAAGTAGAAGTAGAGTTTGAACGCTAAAGCCAGTTTGTGGTAAATTGAATAGATCTAGTTGGTTAAAAGCTATAACCCTGAGCTCTGATGATGGCAAATCAGGTGCATATAGCGATCCGATATATTGCATTACTGACATAAGGTTATTCAAAGAGTCTGGGTCAGATTCTAGCCTGCTCAGAAAATGAGGTTTTGGCATAATATATGGATGGGCTTTGTGGAAGAAACTATCGATCGTCAGTGATAGAAATCAAAGCAAATCTAGGATGACAGACTTGTAGTAAAGATCAATCAGCCTTTTTGAGTCCATTGGCTTAACACTGTTCAATCTGGATGAAGAGCTACCAGGGCTCGGTGATGTATCAGAAACTGCACCAGTCCACGATTCACTAGATGAGTTCCCAGCATGACTCCTTGCTGAAGTAGAATCACCTGCTTGATCGGTTACCATATACTGATCTCTACTATGCTCTTTTGCCGAGTTTTTTGTTCTGATAGCACTCTTGTCTCTCATGCCTCTTCTTGACTTTGCATAAAAGCACGGCTTGTCGTCTTGCTGACAACGACTGCATGAAGGCATTTCTGCCCCGCATTTTACATGACGACTTCGACACTGTTCAATTATTAGTATGTATGACAGCAATTAATGACTCAAAGCTAATACCGGTACACATGCTAACGAGACCCTAGTGCCGCCTCTAGACTCGCGGCTATGAGTTGTCGTTTGGTGTTTATTCTGGACTTGTTGAACCGGCGTTCCATAATCAAAGAACGTTGAGAGTGGATCTTCTAGGACTCTTGGGGATGGAAACTGGGACCTCAACCCTTCGGGATCCATGACGTCTAGCAATGGGGCGAATATACGGATGTTCGGATCTTAGTGTAACTTCAATAAAGCTCTACGCTTTGAGAAATGAAAATATTAGATGAAACTTTACAAGATATAAAAATCGTAATATTGTACGCTATTCAAGAGTTGAAAGCTAGTGTAGCAAGCTGATGATCTTGATACTTAGACCATGAGGTAGTCTTGAGATAATCTCATGGTTGATGAAGGACTGGTTGTGTATAATGTAATCCGCGATATTGAATTAACCCCTGCTCTATTTCCTTGTCTATAAGTAAGCGTCTTTTAAATGTCAGCACAGTGAAGTTCATGTCAGCGAAAAGTTTGAGGAATCGGATAGATCAAAATCAGGCAAGGAAACTAGAAGAAATGCCATCCACAATTCATTGGTGTTTCTGAGCTTGGTACATTGCATTGAGATGCAAGCCACCATTAGCGATTGGCTAGACGTGATTATTGCTTCCACCATCGATCTACAAGCCAATAAGGTCAACTTTTGTCATTCTGCCATGCATAAAGCATGCATTGTGTCACCCAAAGAGATATGAAAAAAAAACAGTAAAGCCCATTATGCAGTAAAGGATCCGGCGATAACTTGGTATCCCACGGCCGCGATCACCGCTCCAAGTAGTCATGGGTCCATTCTTCTATCGTGCAATTGATACATATGCACCAATGACGATACGGCTCTACCAAAATTGAAGTCCTGGGGAGAAATTGATTCGGGGCATCTTTTTGATTTATATCTTTTTCCGCGGAAGAAGATTGTAGAAGTTGGCTAAAGACCATTTATTCCTCTGATATATCTAATGGAATGAGCTGTAACATTGATAGACCAGATTTTGGCCTCTCTTCGGGCTGTTCAAATTGTAGACAATAACATCTCGTAAGTCTAAACATGAATAGAATTGCACCCATATGTCTGAGCCACTTAAAAGTACCTGAAGATACACCACTTGGCTGACCATTAACTATAACAAGAACTTCTTCCGGGTGGATTCTTAACCCTTCAGCCTTGTGGAAGACTCGAAGGCGGGGCCGCTGGAAGAAGGTTCCAAGCATGCTATGCATGATATATGAACTTTAAACTCAATAGAAGTTTCACTATCCATCCGAGACTTTTCTCGAATGCAACTTTAGAGATACCTAGTTTTAAGACTATAAAAAGAGAAGTGTGAGAAAGAAAACTAGGCAGCAATACTACAAGCGGTGAAATGTCCTCTGAGCAATGTAAGCACATTGCATGTAATGCAGGAACATTGGTAAAGTTTGTAGAACGTAGATTCGTTGAAGAACGAGATGAACCTTAACACTGCGGGAAACGAGTAACTTGGGAAAGGTAAAGCATTGCCAGGAAAGAAAATCCACTAAAATGAATGTAACGAGATGTGTAAGATCTTATCTGACGAATTCTTGCAAAATTGAGAGTTTCGTATTGGAACTGGGCTGAGTTCTTGAAGACGAAGTGTGATGGAATATTAATGCCGGTACGTGGCTGCTTGTACAACGGTCAGCTTACACTTTTGTATTTTACTAATCGACTTTGCAATTTGTAATGATCCTAGAATTGACCAAAGAACTGGTGATCCACTACGACGGTGATCCCCAACTCAAGCTTCGAGAATTGTGAAGGAAGCTCATAACGATAGCCCTAAAGATCCCTGACGCCAATGAGATTGAGACAAGCTTATACATATCAGAACTGCGCACTCCTTTAATAGGACTTGAAAGATTGTAGCTGAGAAAAATTTCGACACTGGCCGTTGTTATTCTAGCAAAAAGACACAAGCCAAACAAATAAGGTAGAAAGACTATGCTCAAAAGGTATCGAGTACGAATGAGCGAACTGCATACTTGAAAGGGGGCACAGCAAGTACGAATATGTATGTAGAAGCGTACGCATTCGTGTTCACAAGCTATCTATACAGATTACTTGGTAGTCACACAGCATTGCACACCGCTGACAGCAATTCGGAAGAAGACATCCAGACAGACATAACCTCATAACCTCTGGTGATGTCTATCAAAAGAAGAGAAATAGAACACTTCTCGAATTCCAAGTGATGTGACACAAAATGACTAATGTGGTAAAATTCCAGAAATCCACAATATCTTCTGACGCTAATCTACATTTAACATTAGCGCAATGATCCCAAAACGGAAGGACGGAGACTAACCTCGGTATCTACGTCAACACAAGCTTGCGTTCTCACGATTCCACATTGCATTTCGTACCTTCTTCCAAATCAGCGAATAACTTCCTCAAGACTATTACATATATGAAATATATACACGCCATTCAATGCCCTCTCGATGACATCCAACGATTTTATCCTCGCCCAACAGCGCCTTGCCGCTCGTCGTCAAGCTCGCGAAGTAGCAGCCCAAACCCATCTTAATCGACGACGTAAAACCGCCATCTCCCAACGAGTTTCCTCTCTTCCTTTTCCCTTCTCTCGATTAGGGACTGCAGGTCTTACAACATGGGATACAATTGCTGGACGCGAAGGAACTCGTCCTGCTTTTCGAGTCGGTCAAGTCGATGCAGAGTTATTGGATGAAGAATTATTAGACCTATTGAAAGGGCAAGTGGGAGAAGGCTTAAAGTATTTCGGTACCCATATACAGGATGATTGGTCTGCGGAAATAATGCTGGCTCTGAGAGCTATTCTTTTTAAACTCAGTATATGGGATCATGATGCTACGTATGGAGCTACATTGCAGAATTTAAAATTCACAGATGCGCGACATTCTGGACCTGTATTGGTATCTCCATCGAAATGGCAGAAGAGTTTATATGGTCTCTTCACTGTAGGCGGCAAGTACGCCTGGACACGTTGGGAGAACTACCTAGTCGATTCAGACAACGGGTATAGCACCCCCTCACCCCTTATGAGTCGACTCTCTCGCATCACAGATCTCTTAACAAATGTTCACTCCACCGCCGCCTTCGCATCCTTCCTAGTGTTCCTTGTGAACGGCAGATATCGTACTTTGCTTGATCGAATCCTACGACTCCGATTAGCACCCCCAACAAGCCAAGTCAGCCGAGAAGTATCATTCGAATATCTCAATCGCCAACTTGTATGGCACGCATTCACCGAATTTCTCCTTTTCGTCCTCCCCCTGGTCGGTATTTCTCGCTGGAGACGCTTACTTTCCCGTGCATGGAGACGTACGAAATCAGTTTTTAACACATCATCTCCTGATGATCTTTCTATTGATGAAAAGAAAGGCGAACTTTCTTTCCTGCCCGAACGTACTTGTGCTATCTGTTACCATGATCAAAATGCGCTACAAGCAACAGAAGAAGGCGTTATGGCTGCTGCAGCTAGTACCGGCGTAATCGGGAGTGCGCAAACCGACATCACAAATCCATACGAGACGGTAGAATGCGGATGTATTTATTGTTTCGTATGCATAGCTAGTAAACTGGAAGCAGAAGAGGGAGAAGGATGGACATGTTTAAGATGTGGAGAGGAAGTCAAGGGATGTAGAGCTTGGAGTGGAGATGTTGTTATTGAAGCTCCAGCCCCTGCCCCAGCTCCCGTTGTGGAAAAAGAACAACTTCCCAAGCCAAGAAAAAGCGTGGAATTCCAAGACGACAGGATGAAAATTGTAGATCCAAAATCGGAAGATGGAGATTCATCAGATCGTGATTCGCAATTGGGTCAAGAGGAAGCATATGATGAAGAAGAAGATCAGGGGTTGGAGGAATATGAGGATGAAGCTGAGTAATATACTTCTGAGTTTGGACAGGTTGAGATGCAAAACTTAATATTGCGGTTTGGAGATGGAGATAGAGGTGTCGTTTCGCGAGGTTTGCGGTTCGCTTGATTGATTGATTAATTGATACCAGTAGGGATGATATGGATGGTGTATTCTTGGAGTTTGGGGATACGGGGAAAATAATGGGTTGGGTGGGTTGGGCTAGGAAAAGATGAGATGAGATGCCGTGGGATGGGATGGGATGATGAGATAATTTTATAGAATCTCTTTCTTTAATGGATGGAAATTATTTTATGCTTCATATCCGATATGTCTAGGGGTGAAAATACACACCTGAGATTTAAATTACTTACACATAGGTCTTCTGCTACATCTACCTAGGTACTTTTAATAGATGATATGAATGTCATGTATTAAATACCTATCTATATAATGTAATCTAATCCGCTCGCTCTCTAAGATATATCATCGCATCGCATCTTCAATAATACATGCATAAGAATATGAATATAAGTATAATCATGGGTATCGCTATCCCTTCTCCCTATTTCTCCCAAAACGCCAAATTGAATAATATGTATCTGTTTCCTGCGGCCGTGGTGCTTTCGTGTTCGTCTGAGTAGGTAGGTATCGTGGTCGGTAGGTAGTTCGGTAGGTCGGTAGGTCGGTAGGAGGGTCTTTCATCCATCCGCTTATTACCACTACTTGATCGTATGTATTATAACCAGGAACCGCATACCTATCTATCGTATACTCGTTCTGCGTATCCTATCTGTGTCGTCACGCACTAATGCGGGTATTTCCCACCTTTCTGATTTCTTCAAGATCTTTCAACTGTCTCGCAACCTCCTCTCAAGCCTTCCCCTCAAACCTCTGCATCTCCACATCCGCAATCTGCAGCTCCCCAACCTTTGAAAACTTTCCTCTCCTCCCCCCTCTCGTCTCCGTCACCCACACTCGCACACTAACCGCCCCCTTCACCACCGCAAAAATCAGACAAATCCCCACCGCAATCCCAAATACATACGCGGCCACCATTCCATGCTGCGCCACCTGCGGGTTCAAGAACGAATACACGTATTGATGTTTCGTGGCCACCGTGACATACGCGAGACCCAGGTAGCAGGCCAGAATGACAATGAGCCAGAGGAGATGAATCCACGGCGGCGACGCGGTGCGCGGGATGCAGATTTCGAAGAGGGCGAACAGGGAGTTGAGGCCGTGTTCGGAGATGTTGGACCAGGCGTCGAAGGCGGTGGGGAACCAGCCGACGGGGACCGAGACCCGGAAGAGGACGCCCCAGAAAACGATGGTGACGAGGATGGGGTAGCAGATGATGCTGCTGTAGTAGAGAGAGTGCAGGGCTTGGAGGGCGCGCGGAAAGCGCGAGAGTAGTGGGATGCCGCTGCGTGCGTAGCTGAAGGTGTGGAGGGCGGCGAAGAAGAAGTAGAAGGATATGCCCCAGTAGCAGAGACTGTGGGGGGTTAGTATGGAGGGGTTTCTGGGTGAAGGAGGGAAAACGTACTGGTGAAATAAGAGAAGCTGAATCGGGCGGTTGCGCCTCCGTTGGGTAATCGAGCTATTTCCCAAAAGATGGAGAAGAGAAGGACGAAAAATGCATAGAGGGACTAGATTGAAGGAATCAGTGGTTATAATTTGTATGTATACTTTATCTATACTTTACTATCCCTCTCTCTCTCTACATTGATTTTCAGAATAAGTAACTTACAATTGAAGCTCTAACAGCAAAAAGCGCCCATGGAGACAACAACCACGAAGTAACAAACCGATGGCTCGGGTCCCAGACCCCATCACCAAATTTGAATACTTGCAATTTGTTGGTCGTCATGATGAATTGATTGGTAAATGGATGACTGAGATTCGTAAATAACGAGATGACAGGGAATGATTCGGTTGTAAGTAAATAAGACTCTCAGCACAGTCTCGATACGATATACCAGCGAATTCCGCTCGTGCAATAAAGTGCCCAATGTATGTACTAGGTATGTATAACGAATAATGCAAAACAATCTTCCCGTTCTCAATTGATGATGATCAATTCGTTCGATCTCCCACAACCCTCTTGTCGTTATGAAAAAATGAAAAAAGAAAAAAAATCAAAAAAATCCGTGTCCTTTTCTCAATTCAAAAAAAGTAAATTCGATCTTCGAGACAAATATTCGCGAAATGTGGTGATGAATTTGTTTCGGAAACCCCTGCAGGATAGGTACAGATTGATAAATTCGGGGTTGTAGTCGCCCACTTTCAATCCCTGTATTTGTGACAAGATAGGTATTCAATGCCGATGTAGTGGAGATGTGCCGGTGGATTTAAGATTGGGGAGAAATGCTTTTTCATGTGTACTAAAATGTACAGACAGACTAGACATAAAATATTGGAAAACAGTTGGCTTGCTGAATTGTTGAATTTGTGAATTTGTGAAGATATTCTGGTGATATCGTAGATATAATGGAATAGAAATGAAGATGGAAAGGTTTTCTATGAGTAGTTTGAAAAGTTGGTACTATATTAGATTTTGCTGAGCTAAAACTACTAGTATCTTGGTTCAAGAAAGTATAAATAATTCGATTATGTGCACCCAGGTGATGGATGTGTGTTCCTCATACTATGGCTCAGCTATCTGTCTTGGTGCCCGCAATTCTGATATCTAGACCTGTGCTTTCTGTTCTATAGCTGTAGGATGAGATGGCATCAGTTCCAAGTACTCACAAGTAGGTAAGCTGTGTGATGTGATATCGTATCGTGTTGGATGGATATTCGGTCGTGTTTTTTTTTTCAACCATCGAGTGAAGATTTACCAATAGTTTGAATTATTGGGAATAGTTCGAGAATTTTACCTGTCTTCCGACATTCTTCCTTAGTTGAACCATTGAATAAGAATGGCTCTAGGAAGTGCTGGGAAAAGGAAAACTAAAATCCCACTTACCAAATGTCTGCAGTGCAAAATTTGACATACCAGACGGTCAGACTAAGGAACTATCATTAATGTAGTTTGATATTTCGAAGTCTAGATTGCATTGCTTCCAGTACCGGAACGAGGGGGTAATTTTGTTAGATCGTATCTCGCCTTGTCATCAAGAGAGCGCATTCCTCTCCGCATTAAGAGATTCCTGTGTGGATGTGGCATTGCATCTTTCGCACTGGCTAGGATGAAGGCAAACGTTCCGAGATGAATATGATAAGTCGAGGAAGATCGACTTCAACGGATGTATATGGGGAAATGATACTTCACGACGGCTCAAGAGATCTCGAAGATATCGACCCACTAGCATGCCGTGAAGAGCTTGTGAAAGAATTCCACAATTTTCGTCTCTTCAAATTGCGCTAACAGCTCAAGCAAGTATTGAGATTGAAATGTGGGATTTTGGGGCTACAATGACCTTAAGTATCCCACGCCGTGGACTCTCGTATGTTAATAGGGTGATGGAGCTCCTGATGTCCATATCATTCTGCTTCTATTAGACTTGTTCCGTATATAAGAAGTTGTGGATATTGGCAAGTGGTATCTCATCGGCCGCCAAATGCTCGCGAGACATGGTCGATATTTGGCCCGTGATTCCAATGACTGACTGCCCTTCAAATCTGGCTCTCGCCAACCCAAGCCCAATATCTTCGGAGAATAAATGTTTATATGTCTTGTTTCTGCTGCGCAATATTGGAGGTTCAAATCATTGCCGAGATGAAAGCAAGTACACAGATCTTTCAATATCCGAAATTTAATTGAACGTCAATATCGGCCGATAGATGATATTTGGAGAATTTGGAATGAATACTAATCAACCGTGTCAGTAACTGAAGGCGAATAAGGGGCAGATTACTGTTGACTTTTTATATCATCTCCGAGAGGCGATAATCAATAAGGTCTTGCTGACTGGCTATGATCTTAAATTTCTAAAACGTGAACGAGCATATCCACGATATTACTTTTGAAGGTCTTTGTGAGATTAGTCGTATGAAGGATTTAATGAAACTTGCTGTGCCTCATGCAAGCAACTCTGGGCTTTCTCCGGTTCAAGACAGGCAGGTTCGAGAACGAACATTTGAAAACGAATTGGATCGTGAGATACGACCTTCCTTTTCATCCTCTACCGACTCATGCTTTGTGTCCAAGTTTTTGACGACTAGACACTCGGTAAAGGCCGCAAATCCTCAAAAGGGTCATGCCAGTGATGTTATAGATAGAAAATCCACATGGGTCTTCATCCGAATCGAGTAACCTATCCAGGATGCTGTCCGGGGGATCATCCAAATTGGGATGTCTGTGAATGGTCTGTGTGTGCATGAAATCTCGATTTGGTGGAGACTTGAAGACATCAGTCACAAAAGCTTATGGTAGAGTAGGATTCAGCGCCTCCTATTTCTTGTCATACTTCGTACATTTATGTGAGTCTACCTCGGCAAGTGATGGATGGTCGTGGTAAAGATGTCATAGGTAAATGAGGGTTTTGTGAGTGGATGAACCTCGAAAATTTCCATGAATAATGGACATCTGAGAGTACCTCAATACGTACGCCATAACACTATGAGGAAAGAACGATGTACTCCATATCCTTGTCTCCGTCTCCTCTCCGCGATTTTCAATGATCTACGTACATGTGCAATATCGAGCCGCGAATTTTGTACGTACCTAGGTCGAAAGTGCTAGACTCCGTCAATAACAAGGGAAGAGTAAGAGAGAAACGATGTGGCATGTGGCTTACCCGTGAGCGTTTGTCTCTCCCAAAGAAAGCAACTTCTCCTCATCTCATCCAATAGACTCTCTGTCAATGCTGAATTGAGCACATTACCCGATCAGCTTCTCCACCCCAAAAATAAGCCGGAATCTCTTGAGAACGCGCCATGCAGATTTCGCGTGGGTGGCTCGGCGGGCATTGGACAATTCAATGCAGAGCAGAGTGGGAGACAAGATGGGCGCGATGGGCGATGAGCAATGAGCAATGAGCAACGAACGTAAGCCCAAACCTTAATTTCATTTCCATCTTCTCCTTTGGTCGATGGATGTGTCGATGTGTCGATGAGCACGCAGACCCGATCAATTCTACATACAGTGTAGAATGGATCGGCTATGTCGTAAATAAATTGTAAAGCTCATGGATTGATCAATTGAAATTTTTGATCTAGAATGTAGAGAGCATAGATGATTTGTATAAATGAATAGACCTAGGGATTGTATGTGCGAAGTAGATAATATGGCTCGTATGGGTCGAAGCATTTGTAGTATCCAAGGGGAGAAGAGACTGGAGCCATTTGCCAAGTCGTTTACCCAGGGGAACCGTTGAAATTGATGGCAAATGATTTTTTCACTATGTCGTATACGTCGATGGGAAAATCAGTTTATTGATTTTGATATTATTGCTTCCCCCCATCAAGCAACTCAATCATTCGAGAATCCCGCATTCAAACGGTTTATGTTCCTAGCCAACCCAAAGATCTACATCATGGTTTGGGTCAATTGGAACAGAAGAGAAAATGGAAAATAGGAAGCAGAAGGTCGAAAGCAGGAAATAGAAAATAGAAATAGAAATCAAGAAGAAAAATCGAAAAGTAGAGCTAATCGTTGTGAACTTGGTAATAAATACAATATTGAGATTCTTCCTCTCTTCCTCCTCCTCTCCCCCTCCAAGATCTACTTCTTGTCACTGTGTACGGTGCATTATCACATAGTGAAGAGTGCTTCATCCTGCACAAGTTACAATCAATTCAGTCAAGCTTTCCTTTTTCTCACAAGCTTCTTTACTTTTTTTTCAATCTATCCACCCTGTCATCACCATCACCCGCCTCTCTTATCCCACCTTGTGAAAAGAGATAATATATACGCGGTGCCGGTCCCAGGACGACAAATACAACAACATCCACCACACACCATTTACCATTTACCATCCCATCCATCCAACAACCTCCACCAGTCCTCAAATTTTACATTCCTTGCTCTCGTCCCTTCTGTCCTATTCCGAATCACATTGTATATTTTGTTTTAATTCGCGACATCAAGACTTGAAACGAAAAACCTCCGCAATCAAAGACGATCTCATCCTGCGCATGGTCCCCTTGACTTAAAATAAATAGTGAAAGGATGAACCCAATCTCGAACTAAAGTCTTCCTCGCTTCCCTCAAAAGCTTTGTGCGATCATTATCGATAATCTTTCCGTTGCCCACCCGTTTCTCGACGCTACTGCAACAAGTAGACAGTGGACTCTGACACAGACACCTCCTCGGTGGACTAGGGACCATTTGTAGGGGGGAGGAGAGACTAGATCACGACTGATTGGGATTGTTCACAACTGAGGAAAGCTACCTTTTCTCCATCTTCCTTGTCTTGGACACACCGGAAACTTCTGATCATTCGTATAATCCGAATTGTGGACTTCTAGAAGCGCTGTTGTACACCATCAGTGGTGCGCACTGCATCAAAAGTATATTACCTCATCTACAATACCGTGGATACCAAGAATCCGGTCAATATTCACATGCAGCTAAGAGGCGCTCGCTACGTTCAATCAATCCATGTAGGACTATCAATTCTTGCATAAGTCTTCAAGTAGGCAGGCTGCGACAATCATGGCATTTTACGACTCTTCTTCTGATCAAGAAGTCGGTTTTCCGATAATTCTCGAACCTGATGATGATTCACTCTTCGAAATGCGATTAGACGACACGAGGTTAAATAACGATACAATGAAGGAAGTGCATCATGTCAAAGAAGTCAAAAAAGTCAACGAAGTTGCAAAAAATCCCATGGTACCAAAACATCCAATAAGTTCCATGCAAGGTGCTTTTGCAGAGTCGATGCAAGAGGCTAGCGACACAGCTCGAACAGCACCCAAAATCGGCGACGCAGCGACCCGACGAAAGATCTTAATTGAACAAAATGTTTCCGAAGATACACATGCTTTGCGATGGCAGAGGCAACCAGGTCAAAAATATCATGAATTGTGGAAATTAATGGCACAGATATCCTTTGGAATTTATCTGCTCCTCAATGGAATCGCCCGAGATGAAGAACAGGTCATGTCAATACTACAGGGACATGTGAATGAGGTAGATGGGTTCTTAGAGATGACGCTG